GATCTGTAGACGACGCCATTAACCTGGCCCTCCACCACATCCTACAGCACCTGGACTCCCCGGGGACCTACGCCAGGGTCCTGTTCGTGGACTTCAGCTCTGCCTTCAACACAATCCTGCCATCCCTGCTCCAGGACAAGCTCTCCCAGCTCAACGTGCCCGATTCCACCTGCAGGTGGATCACTGACTTCCTGACGGACAGGAAGCAGCGAGTGCGTCTGGGGAAGAATGTCTCGGACTCTCGGATTATAAATACAGGAGCCCCACAGGGCTGTGTTCTTTCTCCCCTGCTCTTCTCCCTGTACGCCAACCACTGCACCTCCAGCCACGACTCCGTGAAGCTGATCAAGTTCGCGGACGACACCACCCTCATTGGACTCATCTCCAACAACGATGAGTCCGCCTACAGGAGGGAGGTGGACCGGCTGGTGTCCTGGTGCAGTGGTAACAACCTGGAGCTGAACGCCCAGAAGACAGTGGAGATGATTGTGGACTTCAGGAAGAGCACTGTCCCCCCGCCCCCACCCTCCGTGATGGACTCCCCCATCACCTCTGTGGAGTCCTTCCGTTTCCTGGGCACCACCATCACCCAGGACCTCAAGTGGGAGCCGACCATCAGCTCCCTCATCAAGAAGGCCCTGCAGAGGATGTACTTCCTGCGGCAGCTCAGGAAAGCCAAGCTGCCTGCACAGATGTTGGTGCAGTTCTACACGGCCATCATCGAGTCCATCCTCACCTCCTCCATCACCGTGTGGTTCGCTGGAGCCACAGTCAGGGACAAACAGAGACTACAGCGCATTGTGCGCTCTGCAGAGGAAGTGATCGGCCGCAGCCTTCCATCGCTGCAGGACCTGTACGTCGCCCGAGCTCGAGGCCGGGCTGGTCGTATCACAGCCGACCCCTCTCACCCTGCACATGGACTATTCCAACCACTCCCCTCAGGCAGGAGGCTGCGGTCCATCAGGACTAGAACCTCCCGCCACAAGAACAGTTTCTTCCCCTCTGCTGTTGGACTCTTGAACACTTCTTAACCTGTCCCCCCGCCCTTTATAAAGTCACTTTACTGCCCATCATACGTCACTTTACTTCACTGTACTGCTGTCACCTTACATTGTGTGCACCATGTGCACTTGTACATTGTAAATAGTAACTGTAACTCTATTTTAAATTTAAATTTATTCTTTAGAAGTGTTTTTTATTCTTATTTTTATTATCTCTTTTTGACTGTTGCACTGAGCCAAAGCAATTTCCAAGTCTGTGACCTCCCGTTACTTACGTTGGCAATAAAAATGATTCTGATTCTGATTCTGATTCTGATAACACAAAATAGATACTTTGGGGTTTAGCATTTTTTATTAGTTAACACAGTTGAAACATAACACAGTTGATTATATTTAACTAAGCAAGGAGGTTTATCTGAGCATAGCTTTGGACTCAGGTGAAGTTTGTTATACATTAATTCCAATTTTGACAATAGATTAAGATTAAGATTGAGACTAATATGACAATAGGACTGATGTTATTGATGCTTTGACAATTACAGAAGGATAATTTGAACACAGGTTACACTAGACTTGGTAAATACTTGACTTAAATAGTTACTATTGACTGGGACACATGGACTGACATAGTAGGATTAAACAGAGGTGTTGAATCCAAAGGGGGAATACCCTGTTATTAACCAATTTTAATACTTTTATCTTTCATGTATGTTTGTTTTACTATACTTTTAATATATCACTTTTATTATGCTTATTATATTCGTAATACTTTTCTTTTTAATACACTCTTTTCTTTTCTTTTTATTTTATGCTCATATGATTATGTTGATTTGGAGTTCCAGATACTGGTTGGGTTTTTCTATGTTTTCAGGAGGACATCATGGTGATGATTAATGGACACTGGACAATGGACAGTGGACTGTTGGACATTGATGACAATCAGGGGTTTAAAGAGCTCTGATGCAGAGACTGGATTCATCAGGAGGAAGTGTGGACTGAGATCAAAAGAAGACGGAAGAAGATTTTGTCTTATCAATATAGTGTGATCCTATATTCTTTTGTGTTTTTCTATTACAGGTGATGTGTATGTGTTTTTGCAGGTGATGTTCAGTGTTGGGGATAAAGGATTAAACATATTGATTAAATTGATAGTTTTAGAATACTTATTTTATTATACATTTAGAATACTGAAATTGAGTGAATGTAATTGGAACACAGTTACTTACTAAATTGTTGTTAAATGAAGTGAACTCCCTCAGAGTTTGATAGTGATTCTTAAATTCCTAGATTTAAACTTTAGGAATAGATTAGTTTAATATGAAGTTGATTTAATTGAGTATTGGAGTCAATGCTGAATACTTTTGATTGGATTAAATCCAATCCCCCCCACTGAATATCTTTAGTCATGTGAGCTCCAAGGCTGTGAGTGCAAGGTTTGTAGTCGTCAACGAAAACACATGAAGACAAATTAATATTGAGATGTTGGGGCTATGAGAGAATTTTTCCAATAAGCTAATATGAGGTTGGTTTTGCTCTCATACTCACTGCAAGGAGACAGGTATAATTTCATTTAGTGATCAAGCATGAGCTCGATCAAAAGGGGAAATATGTAGTGTCTGCTATTATAAATTCTACATATACAGCATGTATCTTCAAAATGTGTTGGGAACATTTGGGTCAAAATGGTAGAAGCAGCTGACTCTAAGGATCCCTTTCTCAGTCATGAGGCAGACGTGTGAGCAACACTAATGTTAGGACAATGTGCATGGCTGTCCTTAAATGTATGGTTTGCTTTTTCTGGATCTTGTGACTGTGTCTTATGACTTCTTCAACAATCTATAAGATGCTAGTCCGCGGTGTGTTCTTTGTCAGTCATGCCATCATCATTCTCGGGAGCTGACCCAGGCTGAGAGCGCTAAGCCTGAATTGGATTCGATGTATTCTGATTATGTCATTAAACTCTTTCTTTAATACATAACTCAGAGTGCATTCCTTCTCCAACAACTATACTGGTTTGTGCGGGAAACCCCATTTTCTGCTGATGAGAAGATACAACACAACTCCAAGATTCCTCACAGTGTTGCTGTGTACTATGCTGACGTTGTGAGAGAGATTATCTGGTTGGCAAGGAAGTCGTGCAGGCGCTTTGGACCGAGTAGGATCACTTCTGTCTTCACCGGGTTATGAAGTAGAAAGGTGAGAGTCCTCCACATTTTATGGTCTTTTATGCAGACACTGAGCCTTTTAAACTGATCTGTCTGATTTGGTTTCATTGACAGATAAAGCTGTGTGTCATCTGCATAGCAGTGGAAGTTAATTCCATGATTTTCAATGATGTTGCCTAACGGCAGTGTGAGAAGAATCGATCCCTGAGGCACACCGAATTCCACTCTAGAATAAGGTGACAAGTTTGATTCACATTAACAAAGCGATACCAATCCGATACATTGGATTTAAACCATTTGAAGGAGCTATACCAGTTGCTGCAAAGTTTGAATGTTTAACACCGCCCCCCAACTCGCGCAAAGTTCTCTCATTTCCCCTACGTTGTCCCCTAACCCTAACCCATCTAGTTTTATTTGTGACCTGATACATTTTGTAAAGAACAGCAGTTCTTTACGTGTGTAAATATCACTCTGCACTTTATTCCTTTACCTTTTTAAACTTCACATTGCAGTTTAGATTGCACTGTAGACATATTTTAACACGTTAATTTGCACACATAATAAAATGCACACAATTGTTTTTTCGTTTTACATATGCAAACATTAGCATGACTCCCACTGATGTCTGCTGTCGTTGTGTCCATGGGCAAGACACTTAACCCCACTTTGCCCAAAGCCCCCACTGAGAGATCAAGGCTATGCTCACATTGACAGAGCAGTCATCCTCCTGTGGACTCACCACCTGCAGAGGATCAGTGAGGGGCTGGTGCTCTGTGACTTGGGTGGCATCTCTGTCTGCCACCCCCGACCCAAAAATGGATTAAGGGGTAGAAAATGGATGGATGGATGGACATTAGCATGAACGCAACTTCTTGTAAGCTGTACAACAATCACTGATGAAATGGTACAAAAGCAACGCACTGCTAACACAATATATAATTGAAAGATTACCGCTAGTTTCGCGTCCGAATGTAGTCCGAGCATAGATAGTCCGAGGCGATCCGCACCCGCAGGTCTCTCCCATAGACTGTAGTCTCTCCAGAGGATACAATGTAAGCTCGCTATGTTCACCCGGGCTTGATTTTGTCTTTGATTATTTTATCCGCTTTAGTTCCCTCTTCTCTTCCTCATTGTTGTGTCGTTTGGGCTGTTTTGCTGTGTCAGCAGTTATAGCAAGAGGAGTTATAGCCAATTCTGCTAACATGCTATTGTGTTTAGCTAAGTGTTTGTAGAGGCTAGAGGGCGCAGCCTCGTTCTGTGATTGGAGAAGAACGAGCGTCACGCCAAGTCTCTACTCAGCACTTTTTATGGCCTGAATTCATACACAGCTGAATCAATGAGCTCAAGTAATCAATTAAATTACGGATTATAATACAACTTGTATGTAGTAATAAGCATTTTTATAAACTCATTAGAAAGAAAATTGGGTATAGCTAGGCTGTTCCTCTGAGATCTATGTCACATTCTAGCCTCTGTATCAGAATCAGAATAATTTTTATTGCCACGTAGGTAACAGGAAGTCACAGACTTGGAAATTGCTTTGGCTCGGTGCAACAGTCAGAGAGATAATAAAAAACGAAGAATAAAAAACACTTCTAAGGAATAAATTTAAATTTAAAATAGAGTGACAGTTACTATTTACAATATACAAGAGCACATGGTGCACACAATGTAAGGTGACAGCAGTACAGTGAAGTAAACTGTTCTTGTGGCGGGAGGTTCTAGTCCTGATGGACCGCAGTCTCCTGCCTGAGGGGAGTGGTTGGAATAGTCCATGTGCAGGGTGAGAGGGGTCAGCTGTGATACGACCAGCCCGGCCTCGAGCTCGGGCGACCTACAGGTCCTGCAGCGATGGAAGGCTGCGGCCGATCACTTCCTCTGCAGAGCGCACGATGCGCTGTAGTCTCTGTTTGTCCCTGACTGTGGCTCCAGCGAACCACACGGTGATGGAGGAGGTGAGGATGGACTCGATGATGGCCGTGTAGAACTGCACCAACATCGGTGCAGGCAGCTTGGCTTTCCTGAGCTGCCGCAAGAAGTACATCCTCTGCTGGGCCTTCTTGATGAGGGAGCTGATGGTCGGCTCCCACTTGAGGTCCTGGGTGATGGTGGTGCCCAGGAAACGATAGGACTCCACAGAGGTGATGGGGGAGTCCATCACGGAGGGTGGGGGTGGGGGGACAGTGCTCTTCCTGAAGTCCACAATCATCTCCACTGTCTTCTGGGCGTTCAGCTCCAGGTTGTTACCACTGCACCAGGACACCAGCCGGTCCACCTCCCTCCTGTAGGCGGACTCATCGTTGTTGGAGATGAGTCCAATGAGGGTGGTGTCGTCCGCGAACTTGATCAGCTTCACGGAGTCGTGGCTGGAGGTGCAGTGGTTGGTGTACAGGGAGAAGAGCAGGGGAGAAAGAACACAGCCCTGTGGGGCTCCTGTATTTATAATCCGAGAGTCCGAGACATTCTTCCCCAGACGCACTCGCTGCTTCCTGTCTGTCAGGAAGTCAGTGCTCCACCTGCAGGTGGAATCGGGCACGTTGAGCTGGTAGAGCTTGTCCTGGAGCAGGGATGGCAGGATTGTGTTGAAGGCAGAGCTGAAGTCCACGAACAGGACCCTGGCGTAGGTCCCCGGGGAGTCCAGGTGCTGTAGGATGTGGTGGAGGGCCAGGTTAATGGCGTCGTCTACAGATCTGTTGGCTCTGTAGGCGAACTGCAGGGGGTCCAGGAGGGGGGAGGTGAGGGACTTGAGATGGGAGAGAACCAGGCGTTCAAATGACTTCATGACGACAGACGTAAGTGCTACAGGTCTGTAGTCGTTGAGTCCTGTGATCCTGGGCTTCTTCGGGACGGGGACAATGATGGAGGATTTGAAGCAGGCCGGGACATGGCAGGACTGCAGAGAGGTGTTGAAAATGTCAGTGAACACAGGAGTAAGCTCACTGGCGCAGTATCTCAGAGTGGCCGGAGACACGTGGTCCAGGCCAGGAGCTTTGCGGGGGTGCAGCCTCAAGAAGAGTTGTTTAATATCTTTAGAGGCTATTGTCAGGCTGGGAGCCGGGCTGATGGGTGGGTCGTTAGAGTAGTCGGGGGTGGGGGAGGTGTCAGGGGCAGCATCAAAGCGGCTGAAAAAAAAGTAGTAGAATGCTGTGGTCTATTGTGTCAAATACAGCTCTGAGGTCCAGTAGGACCAACACTGACACTAGTCCATTACCAGACTAAAACACTCTGTCTCCCTGTTTATACTGAGACGCTGCGCAGACGTTTCCAGGCTATTAACAGAAACGACCAGGCTCCTAATGCAAATTTCTCAGCGTTCACATGAGGTTGAAAAACGATGTAGTTCTAGTGCCCGGCCAGTAGTGGGCAGAGAAATGCTCACACGACCCCCAGCCCCGTGCCCAGCCCCCCTCTCGGCAGTGTACTCACTTCCTGTACAAGTCCCTCAGAACGTACCAACATCATTCGGCCTTTTAACAGCAGCTGTGAAAATGGGAACTGAACCTAGAGCTTCGCGTGGTCTCGTTTGGACGAACGAAGGTGTAGAATTATCCTCTGTGCCGCGCTGGAAGCCCACGAAGCTAGTTAGTGTACCCGCCGCCATTGATGTTTGTTTTCCGCTACTGCGCATGTCCAAATTTACGTGCGAGGAGCAGCGGGGAGGCGGGGGTCAGAGCAGAGGGGGGATTTCACACCTTTTCCCCTCTCGCGGGTGTGAAAGAGAGCCCCGCTGTGCAGCGTTTCTGAGTTGTCCCACTTTGCAGGCTGGATCTGAACACTTATGTTTTCACCCCCCTGGAACACAGTCTTAGTATGAACGGTTGGTTGAAACCGACATCCAACTATACCGTTTTACTGCCACATTGTCTCCGTGTAAACTCAGCCTCAGTCTTTGCACTGCAATAAAAGAGCCCCCTCGCTCATACTCTCCAGTGAAGTGGGTGGGAGGTGTTTGACCATGAAGGAGGTGACTTTGGCTAACACCTCTTGTCCCTCACCTCCTCCACAGAGTCCAGTGGGCAGCCCCCAGAGCAGACCCATCCGACCAGCTTGTTCAGTCTGTTTCTGTCCCGCTCTGTGTTGCCCGGGGCACACACACGGCACGAAAGTGAAAGGCAGAAGTCACAGAGTCACGAAAAGTCCAGTGCAGAGGCCTGCTCAGTATACAGCCTCCTGCAGAAGGGGCAGCAACTTATGGCCCTCTTTTGTACAGGGTGATGGTGAATGGAGACCAGTCATTTTCGTTAATGTGAACACCCAGTACTTGAAGCTGTCCACCAGCTCAATGTCCTTCCCCTGAAAGTTTTGCGGCCTGGTGGAGAGTATGTTCACGTAACTGGTGTTCAAGGACAAATGGGTGCGCTCACACCTGTCGAAAAGACCATGATAAACGACCTGTACTCTCAGACACACATCCCACCATGCGCCGAGAACTTCTGTAGGTTGCATCTGGCCCCATGCAGTGGAGGTGACACTACACATAGGGATTGTAAGGCGCACTGCAGCGGGTCCCATCTGACCACAGAGCGGAGATGGCGAGATGCGCTATGCCTGGGCTCGTGGGTCTCTGAAGCAGGCAGGTCATCTGGGGAAAAAAAGAAAATTTGAATGAATAACAAGGCGAGAAGTTGGAAGTGTCACTAGATTCATGCAAAAGATAGGTCTGTACCGGAGAAGACGGAACAAACAGCCTGGGATAACCTTGAGAGCTTGATCGTAGAGTCAGGTGTAACTGCTTCAGAGATCCCACCAGAAAAACACCAGCCTGCAAGACACAAGCGACAGGGACTAGAGGAACAGGGAATAGACAGACACACTGTGAAACAGAAGATTTAATTATACTATACTTATACTATAATACTAATACAAATTAATTGAATCAGTTCAAGTTGAAATACAGACGTGGTGTGACAACTGTCCAGTGACAGACCAATATGTTTTTGCCCTTTATATACAAATAAAAACATCATAGACCACCTTACGCATTGCTGTCCAGTAACCTCCTTATCTTGGTCAGGTCCTGTGTGCTGTCCCCGTTGTCCTGGATGTCCAGTGAGCTTCTGACACTGTGATCAGCATCTGTTGCTCCGCCCGCACTGCTCTGCACTCAATGAAGACAAGTGGCTATCCTGCAGGCACCTCTATGCATCTGCACAAAGACAATTTAGTTTGTGAGAGAAAAGATTTGTTTTTTTTTTTTTAAAAAGAACAGTGATGCGTCCACCTAGTTCACCTTTGTCTGGCTGAAAGAAAGAAGGCACACACTTTTTGCGCACCGTCAGCTACGGCCACATTTTCTGCCACTGGAATTTTCAGTGCCAGCTAGAAGTTATGTTTGCATTTCCAGGGCAGAGAGAAGCTTGGTGGCACTTTAGCATGAATTGTCCCCAAGGGCCAAGTATGGTGCCTGATTGTTGTCCTTGGAGCAGCTCAATAACCAAGCACAAAGAAGTAGGTCAAGATGCTCTGCTGAGTTTACAAAGGAAGTAGTCTCTGCTCAAAGTATGAAGTTTCACTAGAACCAAGCTAAAGATAAGTCTGTACCACTGAGTAAGAGACGGAACAATCGGCCTGTGAGTCCTGGAGAGCTTCATTATAGGAGTCAGTGTAACTGCCACCAGCAAAACACCAATCCTGTAAACACAAGGGGGAGAACTAAGAGACTAGGAATAGACAGACACATGGGGAACAGAAGATTTATTTTCAGCACCATTAAACTAATTCATTGATTCATTAAAAAAGAACAACTCTGGAGGGCAACTGTCATACCTCACAACTTGTTTAAGCCTCACATATAAACTCAGTACTGTATCTCTACATAGACCACCATAACTGCAGTGCTGCTCCAGTTCACCTCTTCTCATCTAACAGAGGTCCTGTGTGCTGTCCCCACTTGTCCTGGATGTCCAGTGAGATCTGAAACGGAGATCCAGCATCTGTTTGCACCGCTCCGCACTGCTCTGCACTCCATTGTACTGCTCTCTGCACTGCACACATACAATTTAGTGTTAAGGAGAACAGATTTTTAAAGAACATGCAACATCTGCCACTTCATAGCTCACCTGGGTCGGCTCTGGACACTGATGACTGTCCTTCATAGCTCACCTGTGTCCTGCTCAGGACTCTGGAATGTCCTGCCTTCATAGCTCACCTGTCCTGCTCTGGACTCTGATGACTGCCTTACATAGCTCACTGTGTCTGCTCGGACTCTGATGTCTGTCCTTCATAGCTCACCCTGTGTCTGCTATGGACTCTGATGACTGTCCCTCATAGCTCACCGTGTTGGCTCGTCTTCTGTGCACTGGATAAAAGGCTCTGCAGGCATTATCAGTGGAAGCTAGAGGTTTAGTGGCATTTTCATTGGCACTATACATTTTGGAGAGAGAAGCTGTCCCTAGGACAGGTAGTGTGCCCTGATTGTTGTTTCTGTGCAGCTGGAACACCAAGGGTCAAAATGCCTCCTCTGCTGAATTTCAAAGGAAGACTCTCTGATAAATGCCAATTAAATATTATCTCAACTAAAATTGCCAATAAACTTTGATCACCCCGGAAAAAGAAATCTTCTTTAGTTTGCTAAACCGGTAGCCACAAAATGAGACAAAAGCAGGTCCTCTGCAACTGATCTGATTAGAGTCACAAGGAAGGAGAGAAGAGAGAGGGGCTGGGAAGGTTAGGACGAAGGAGAGCGGGAGGAAGAAGAGGGAGCAGGGGAGAGGGGGGAGAAGGCCGGAGCAGGAGACGAGCAGCGCCGCCTCTTGGAGCTGTTCTCAGCAGAGCACTCGGACCTGCTACGTTTGTGGGAAGAAGAGGGAGTGGGAGAAGCAGTGTTAGGAACTGTAGGGCAATCTGGGTCACGGACATCTGACACAGAGGGAGAAGGGAGGTCTGGACCTAAAACCAACTCCTCTGGATCTGGGGAGGAAGAGTGTGAGGGGGAGGCAAGGAGGGGAGAAGGAGGAGCACTGCCAGGAGGAGAGTGGACAGCTGCACCAAGGATGAGAGGAACCTGAAGAGGAGAAACCATGGGGGAGGCAGGAGCTGGATCTAAAGTCTGCACAAAAAAGTCCAGGAACTCCTCAAGGCTCTGGAAATCAGAGGCAGAAAAAGATGATGAGGAAGGCGCAGAAGGAGAAGAGGGAGAGGCTGGACCTGATGGGGAGGAAAGAAAAGGAGAAGGAGGGGCAGAAACAGGAGGGGAAGAGGCGGCTGCACCATGACTAGCAGGAACCTGATGAGGAGAAGTAGTGGGGGAGGCAGGAGCTGAATCCAGAGTCTGGACAAAAGCGTTCAGGAACTCCTCAGGGCTCTGGAAATCTGAGGCGGAAAAATCAGAAGAGCAGGAAGAAGAGGGAGATGTGGGAGCCGGAGAGGAAGGTGCTGGGGAAGGACAAAGAAAGTAAGGAGAATCAGGAGGTGAAGAAAGAGGAGGAGAGGGAGGCTGAACATTAGGATCCACAACATCCGCCTGCGGAGGGAGAACCACCAGCTGAGGGTCGTCCACCTGCGGGGGGTTGAAGCCCTGAGGAGGGTAGTCCACCTGCGGGGGAAAGAGACCCTGCGGACGGTAGTCCCCCTGCGGAAGGAAGTCCACCTGTGGGGGATGGAAACCCTGCGGACGGTAGTCCCCCTGCGGAAGGTAGTCCCCCTGTGGGGGATAGAAACCCTGCGGACGGTAGTCCACCTGCGGAAGGTAGTCCCCCTGTGGGGGATAGAAACCCTGCGGACGGTAGTCCACCTGCGGGGGATGGAGACCCTGCGGACGGTAGTCCACCTGCGGGGGATGGAAACCCTGCGGACGGTAGTCCACCTGCGGAAGGTAGTCCACCTGTGGGGGATAGAAACCCTGCGGAGGGAGGACCACCTGCGGGGGATAGAAACCCTGCGGAGGGAGGACCACCTGTGGGGGATAGAAACCCTGCGGAGGGAGGACCACCTGCGGGGGATAGAAACCCTGCGGAGGGAGGACCACCTGTGGGGGATAGAAACCCTGCGGAGGGAGGACCACCTGCGGGGGATAGAAACCCTGCGGAGGGAGGACCACCTGTGGGGGATAGAAACCCTGCGGAGGGAGGACCACCTGCGGGGGATAGAAACCCTGCGGAGGGAGGACCACCTGTGGGGGATAGAAACCCTGCGGAGGGAGGACCACCTGCGGGGGATAGAAACCCTGCGGAGGGAGGACCACCTGTGGGGGATAGAAACCCTGCGGAGGGAGGACCACCTGCGGGGGATAGAAACCCTGCGGAGGGAGGACCACCTGCGGGGGATAGAAACCCTGCGGAGGGAGGACCACCTGTGGGGGATAGAAACCCTGCGGAGGGAGGACCACCTGCGGGGGATAGAAACCCTGCGGAGGGAGGACCACCTGTGGGGGATAGAAACCCTGCGGAGGGAGGACCACCTGCGGGGGATAGAAACCCTGCGGAGGGAGGACCACCTGTGGGGGATAGAAACCCTGCGGAGGGAGGACCACCTGCGGGGGATAGAAACCCTGCGGAGGGAGGACCACCTGTGGGGGATAGAAACCCTGCGGAGGGAGGACCACCTGCGGGGGATAGAAACCCTGCGGAGGGAGGACCACCTGTGGGGGATAGAAACCCTGCGGAGGGAGGACCACCTGCGGGGGATAGAAACCCTGCGGAGGGAGGACCACCTGCGGGGGATAGAAACCCTGCGGAGGGAAGGGAAGATAAACCCGATCTTCAAGGTGACCTAAAAAAGAACAAAAACAAGTCAAATATTGTGTGTTTTTAGCATCATTCATGCATGTTTGAAATATTGAAATCCTATTCTGCAAGACGCTGTTGTTCCACTGAGGCCTCTACACTAGGGCTGGGCGATATGGCTGAAAACTATATCACAATATAAATAATTCATATCGGTCGATAACAATACTGATTTTTTTTTATTTTATTTTTTACTTGAATTACTACGTTTGTCGTGTCGGCTAACACACGTTAGCAGCCTTGTTTACAGTCACGTGGGAATGAGGCTAGAGGAATATGTTCACAAGCAGTCTCCCCCAAAGTTAGTCCTGGTGCAATCCTGGTTTAGTCCGGGTTCATCTCCTGTTTTGTGTCCCCATGACGGCTCCGTGGGGCCGCTCTCTGATAGCCGCACGGAGGAAAAAGTTCATCTCTTGCTTTCGCCGCATGCATTGGGTCTCCGTGTCCACTCCCGCCTCTCCCGCGCCGCACATGCTATGCCTCGCACGGACATGCATAACCATTGACACGGCATTGAAAAACAATCTTAGATCCATGGACGCTACGCATGGTGCAGTTGTTGTTTTTGCATTTCCCAGAATGTTTTGCAGTCCATGATTGGCTGTGATAGGTTCAGAAGCCTATGCCTACATCCCCCAGAATGCCACGCACTTCTGACTCTGCTTTACTTCCTGTGTTTTTTTCCTGTTTTTTTCTAACTGAGTGAAGTTAAACTATCAAACATTCTATCAACCCCCTTTTCTATTGATATTGAACACGTGTCTATTGCGATATATATCGTTATCGTTTTATCGCCCAGCCCTACCTCACAATAACACATTTTCAATTAATTGTTCCAGATTTGTTTGTGATAAACGGTAATATTGCGATAAATTTCAAAATCGCCATTTTGAGGCTTTTTCCATTGCCAAACGGCAGAAAAACAGCAAATAGCCCATTTGAAAGACAAATACACTTTTACTTTATAAAACATTTAACACTGTTCTGAAAATAAGGGAAATCGTTACCTTTGAAAGCTTAAAATATAAGTACCAATTACAAATATAACGCACATATTACTTTAATAAGCCCAGAGCCACAAGGTTAGGGGAGTTTTCATGAGAACAGCTCTAATATCTAGAGTGAGGAAAATTTCTTTAGATAAAGATTATTATAAAGAGACAAAACTGAAGGAACATTGCCCCCAAAAATCCGATACATCCCAAGGCAACATGCAAACTTTAAAATAGCTCAGTTTCAAGGGATGGCAACTATGTTGGACGTTTCAAACAAACATCTCAACAAATCCCTTAAAGTACGGATGCATCGATGCCAAAACGGGTATCGGGTTAATACCATAGGCTTGCACTTGTACTCATACCATAGGACCTGATGCCGGCAACCGTGTGCGGCACGTGTTGCCATGGTGATCTCCGTAAGTCAACCGCTAGTGGCAAGCGGACAGGACAGTTTTTTTTTCTTCAAGTAAACGAGTGACAAGAGCAAAAGCAGACTCTACGTTGTGAAAGGCAAAACTGTCACGAGGTGGGTCCAAAACAAACCCGTATAACACCAGCGACTTTATCAAACATCTGAAAACTCACCACAACACAAAGTATAACATCTTTGCAAGCACCGGAGCTATGTCTTTGTACCATTTGCAGGGCTCGACATTAACGGTTGTCCCCTTGATCGAAGCAACTGAAGATTTGGGATGAGCAAGTGGGCTGCTTTAGCAAGTTACCTGATCAGAAGTGTTATGTTGGGCGAAAAACAAGGAGACCCAAAATGCAAAACTGCAAAATGATGGATTTCATAAAATGTATACAAAATCAAGATCCAGCAACAACACAGGGACCAAGGACAAGAACAGAAACAGACGAGGAACTATTTTCCGCTGACAATTTCCGCGGGCACTTTCTGTTGTTTGCATTACGTACTCCGCTCTGACCCCAGGGCAACTGCGGCCGGACCATAGAAGCGCAAACAGAACCATAGACGCACATACAGAAACCATAGACGCGTGGACAGAACCATAGACGCGTGGACAGAACCATAGACACGTGGACAGAACCATAGACACGTGGACAGAACCAAAGACGCATGGACAGAACCATAGACGCACAAACAGAAACCATAGACACGTGGACAGAACCATAGACGCACATACAGAAACCATAGACACGTGGACAGAACCAAAGACGCACAAACAGAAACCATAGACGCGTGGACAGAACCATAGACGCGTGGACAGAACCATAGACGCGTGGACAGAACCATAGACGCGTGGACAGAACCATAGACGCGTGGACAGAAACCATAGACGCGTGGACAGAACCATAGACGCGTGGACAGAACCATAGACGCGTGGACAGAACCATAGACGCGTGGACAGAAACCATAGACGCGTGGACAGAACCATAGACGCGTGGACAGAAACCATAGACACGTGGACAGAACCATAGACACGTGGACAGAACCATAGACGCGTGGACAGAACCATAGACGCACGTTCAGGACCATCCCCAGTTTGTTGGAAGTGCAGGTCCACCTCGTGTCTCCTCCCGAAGCGCAACCAAAAGATTCAGATTCAGATCAGATTCAGATTCATTTATTTGCCATTTGCAGTAAAACCACATTGGAAAAACTGTGCAAGACTACCCCGGTGTGCACCAGACGACACACACCAGAGCTCTTGCCATAGCGCCATCTTTACGGCGCCATGCGACAAAACTCACAAAATGAATGCTCGGGTACCTAAATTTCCCCTTCCATTAACAATGCATGTTGGTTGTGCACAAAACTAAAATGTTGTGAACAAATCAAACGGAACACACCACAACAGTCGTCTTGTTTTTTATTTTGCATACTTAAGTCAGTCATTTTGTTTGACTTTTTGTGCTGAAAGTGGATTTTTTTTCCCACAGTTAGTGCCAAACTCTTGTTAACTCATTGTATTGAGAAATATTTGGACAATTAACTTTTGACGAGTAAAATATAAATGGTACTTGTCCAAAAGGCAAGTAGCTGACAAAGCTTGATGTCAAGGCCTGCATTTGTATGAGTAGAATATTAAATTACATTCTATTTCACTGTGCACTGTTTTTGATTCCGATACTGTTACTGTCAAATGTATCAGTGTTACAGAAATATAAAAGCTATTGGTACTTGGCATCAAAATTGGAACAATATTGGTCTCTTTTTATTGAAATATCTTCCCTGAATATATATATATATAATATCCCTGAATAGTTTGAAGGTACAAACAGGGGTCAACTTGCCATGTGGTAACTACAGAAACAGAAACAAAGAAAGGTAAGAGAGGAACTCACGAACAGAAAATGAGTGGTCTCCACCTCCAGCGTGGGTCGGAGTGCGGCGGTGGTCTCCTAAGACAGAACAAATATTTATATTTGAAAGGCAAAAAAATAATAATACATGGTTGAAGGGCAGAGGTTTTTTTTGTTTGACTGGCAGAGTGCCTGTTAGCGAGCACACCTGTACCATAATACAGTAACGGGCCAAGAACCACAAGGTCTACCAGAATTCCCAAACTCCAAAATGTTTGGCTCATGTATATATATATATATATATATATATATATATATATATATATATATATATATTTTTTTTTTTTTTTTTTTTTTTTTACCTATACTCACTTTTATTAAGTGCTAAAACTGGTGAACATAACTTGAAATACAGCTGCAACAGTTTGCTACAATTCTAAATGCTAACTATTGACAGTAAACAGTGTGTCTGGTTCTGACTCGCTCAGAATCAGAACCAGTCCAAGATCAGTCCAGGTCGGAGCAGTCCCATTGACAGCATGTTGAAAAGGACCTTTAAATGGCATAGAAACCATTGAAACTAGGTTACAAAGCAACTGAGAATGGCAACATTAGAATTTAAAATAATTGAGTTAGTGGTGGAACAATTCAAAAGTAAACATTCCATAGGGACGGCCGCCATTTTGTTTTCCAAAAACGCAGCAGGAAAGTTACGGATTTCAACAAACCATGAAATAAATACTTTTGTTTTCTTGAATATGTCTCAGAAAATGGTTAGTTTGCTTCCTAAGCTACAGATTTATGTCACTTTATCCAAGTATTTGCCATTAATTCATCCTTAAATCGTCGTCTGAAATGTCTAGATTTGTGCAATATGCAGTCAACGCAGCCATCATTTTAGAACGTAGAAACATCGTCTTCTTGATTAATTATCCACATTATGTGAAAATATCCACTCTTCCCACACAGTTCTTCTGATGCTTTTGTGAACTATGACAATTAATATGTTAAAAGAGTTTACCTTGGCCCCGATGGTTGTCCATGTTGATGCTTGTTTGAAACGTTTGGAAGTCGTGTAAATCTGGCAAAGTGTAAAATAATCAACACAACAGGGTTAATTCTATGAATAGTGACTGTCCCACTAAGATTGGGTCGATGTTGTTGATGTAAAACGTAATGAAAGTATTCGCACCTGCTGAAGCTCAAAGCTCTGCAATCCCTGGCTCGTCAAAGTCAGAGATGACGTCTTGACGCCTGGCACCTGTTTTTATACACTTAGCGTTGCTATGGAAATGACGCAGCTTGCGTCGGCTATGTATGTTATTTAACAACATAAAGCACATGTTTTACTTATTGTTTTCAACCCGGTGTCACTGTTTTTGACATTCCAGCAAGTGGCCGCGGGTCTCGGGAAGCACCTGAGATGTACGAAGTGCGGACAAATCAGCAACGAATACTTTTAGATCAGTAAATCTTGTAGCGCACACCTGCTGAAAAGTCAGATTAGTGCACGGATTGTGCGTTTGATTATTTCTACTGCGCCTCCTATCACTGTGCAACACTACTAACTGCGACTATGAGACATCTTCATCTTCTTGAACCTGCTTCACGTCTTCCTCATTACATGAAGCAGACACTGCAGAAGTTAATCTTGCATAGTGGCTGAGGTTCGTTACTCAGCCGTTACTAATTACTAATGTATTACTAATGTATTTTGAGTCTGGAATCAACCCTAAACATATTTTTTATAAATGCTCCTGAAACTACCTGTGTTCACCGAAGCAGCTCATTCATCAGGCCCTGTTCACGGACCTCAGAGCTAATGGATCCATGCCTCAAGTTTTACACTGTAATAATTCTTGGTTAAATCCCGGTAAATGAGGAACCAGCAGTTGTTCCTTTGTTTCTGTAAATTGTTTTTAAGTGTAAAACAAACTTGTATTCAATTCAAGGGTTTCTTAAAAATAGTTGGATGATCTCTTGTTATAGTTATGTGCGAAGATGAAACGGCATGATTTTGAAACTACATGAATCAAGTTCAGTTAATCAGAAGCTGCAGTGATTATATTTGTCCACTAGATGTCCGTGTTACAAGCGAGTTTGAGCAGCTTCATATGTCCAGTTTGTGCTAAGAAGCCCGGAATTGTTTTTTATACAACATATTTTTGTGAATAATCCTTTTCGGGTATGCTCGACATTAAACCAAAGAAAAGGAACAGACTTTGCTGTGAAAATGACATAAAAGTGGCAGCCAGGTGAAGCCACACATATCTGAACTGGTCTCTCAAAGGCAACAAGAAGTCATTTGTTGTGAATTCATGCATTGTGTTGATTTTCTTCTTTGAACAAGGTGATGTGAGATCAATAAAGTTTATCTTATGTTCATGCACGGTTCATTTTCTTCACAAGTAAAAAACCTCCATGTCTTGAAAAAATAAATCTCATTTTTAAGAACCACTGCTCTAGTGTATTCATTCACTTAAACTAATGATTCTAGTTTAAAGGGTATAGGCATAATAAGGATAGCTTAAGTCTTTTCAGTCTTTCTGCTGTAAAGTTTCTGTTCTGTAATGATAAATGTGGCCGAGGCTTTGGGCTGAGAGAGGATTGGTTGAAAAGCTAGTTCACAAGATGTGAAAAGCCAAAACTACATGTATGAGAGAACTAGTAATAACAAGTCAAACGTTTTCAAAGCCAAGAACTACAATTGCATTACATAATTCAGTTTTTTGTGTTTTTTCTAACTGGAGCTCTAAGTAAAAACCTCAGATTAAAAAGACCCAGTAAATATACATGGAAGCAACAGTAATGCATTGTGTGTGAGTGAAAGACACAAATGCCATTTATGTCACTGACTTTTCATGAATACAAATGCATACACAGATCACCACATAAAACCACAGAGCAAAACCACTATTGCAATAAACATCATTGAACAAATAGACAAAAGTCTTGAGCTCGAAGGGAAGGGTGCTCGTTCATGTCCGTAATACACATTCAAATAAAGCATTGGATATTTACAAACCGCACACATTCAGTCCATTCTCACACACACAGCTTATATAATACAGCATTGAAGAAGAATGGCTGTAAAAGGCATATCTAGAGGGGTGTTACAGTAAGTAGTATGAAAACAATTTGAAACAGCCAAACAAAGTGTACATAGAACACATTTTTTACACAATTAAGCCAACTTTACTTAATATAAATATTCTTCATCCAAAAATCAGTGCAGTGCTGTCTGCTCCGGTCCTGGCCTGGTCCAAAACCCAGTCTGCAATAGACCTGGTCCTAATTACTCCACACACAATCGTCTACATCAGTTTCACACTCGTCTATGCTTTGGGGTCCGTGTACTTTTGCGTTCAATACATTTTATATTTTTTAAGGGAAATGGAAAATAGAAAAAAGGCACACAGCAATATACAAAAGTGACCATTTTGTTTTTTTACATTGCTTATAAGACTATATATATATATATATATATATATATAGGTGCAATGAAAAGACCAGTACCCAGAAAGTACAGCCAGATGACCATACCTGAAGCACTCGAAACTGCCAAACAAAGGCTCCAAGTTCGCAACACAACCTGCGAAGGTGTACGCTCAGTGGCAGGGTAACAACAGGGGAGCAGACCCACCGAGGCTGGAAACTGAACAGTTCTGGAAGAACATATGGGAGAAGGATGCAGCACATAACAGAAGTGCACAATGGTTGGTGTCCCTGAGAGAGGAGCACAGCCACCTCTCAGAACAGAACTCAGTTACCATCACAGAGGCAGACATCCGAGAAAGAGTCTCAGGTATGAAAAATTGGACATCACCTGGCCCTGATATGGTCCATGCCTACCGGCTAAGGACACTCACATCACTCCATGAGCGCCTAGCAGCACAAATGAACCAGCTGCTGAGAGATGGGACTCACCCAGAATGGCTAACCGAAGGGCGAACGGTCCTGATCATGAAGGACCCTGTCAAGGGTGCAGTCCCCTCCAACTACCGGCCAATAACCTGTCTCTCCACAACATGGAAGCTCATGTCAGGCATCATTGCGGCTAAGATAAGTGGGCATATGGAACAATTCATGAACACAGCACAGAAGGGCATTGGTAGGGACACCAGAGGAGCCAAACACCAGCTCCTGGTTGACAGAACAGTCGCCCAAGACTGCCGGTCACGACACACCAACCTGTGCACAGCCTGGATTGATTACCAGAAAGCCTACGACTCAATGCCACACACATGGATCATGGAATGCTTGAAGTTGTACAATATCAACAGGGCTCTAAGGGACTTGCAAACTCGATGGGAATGTGGAAGACCACTCTTGAGGCAAATGGCAAGCCGCTCGCACAAGTGACCATCATATGTGGTATCTACCAAGGAGATGCTCTGTCCCCACTACTGTTCTGCATAGGCCTCAACCCTCTAAGCCAAGTAATTGACCAGACTGGCTATGGATACCGCCTCAGGAACGGAGCAAAGATCAGTCACCTCCTCTACATGGATGACATCAAGCTGTACGCCAAGAGCGAGAGAGACATCGACTCTCTGATCCAAACAACCAGGATCTACAGCCATGACATCGGGATGTCATTCGGGCTCGAGAAATGTAGCAGGATGGTGACTCGGAGAGGCAACGTAGTCCACACAGAAGGGATCTCACTCCCAGAGGGAACAATAGCAGACGTTGAGGACAGTTACAAGTATCTCGGTATACCACAGGCAAATGGTAACCTCGAACAGGTGACGAGGAAAGCGGCAACTGCCAAATACCTCCAACGAGTAAGGCATGTCCTAAGAAGCCGGCTCAATGGCAAGAACAAAGCCCGGGCAATTAACAGCTACGCCCTGCCAGTGATCAGATACCCTGCAGGAATAATCAGGTGGCCAAAGGATAGATTCAGACCACGGATGTTAAAACTCGAAAGCTCCTTACCATGCATGGCGGGTTCCATCCCAAATCCAGCACCCTGAGACTGTACGTAAGCCGTAAAGAAGGAGGCCGAGGACTAGTGAGTGTGAGAGCCACTGTCCAGGACGAAACATCCAAACTCCATAACTACATCATGGAGAAGGCCAAAACGGATGACGTACTCAGTGAATGTCTCAGGCAGTGTCGAGATGAGGAGGTGCTGGAGGAGAGCCCATCATGGGAGAACAAGCCCCTACACGGCATGTACCACCGGAGCATAACAGAAGTGGCTGATCTCAAGAAGTCCTACCAATGGCTAGAAAGGGCTGGCCTACAGGACAGCACAGAGGCACTCATCATGGCTGCACAGGAACAGGCCCTGAGCACCAGAGCGATAGAGGCCCAGATATACCACACCAGACAAAACCCAAGGTGTCGGTTGTGCAAAGAGGCACCTGAGACGATCCAACACATAACTGCAGGGTGCAAGATGCTGGCAGGGAAGGCCTACATGGAACGCCATAACCAAGTGGCTGGCATAGTGTACAGAAACATCTGTGCAGAGTATTGGCTGGAAACCCCAAGGTCTAAGTGGGAAACTCCTCCAAAGGTGGTGGAGAATGAGCGTGCAAAGATCCTGTGGGACTTCCAGATACAGACCGACTGAATGGTAATGGCGAACCAACCTGACATTGTGGTGGTAGACAAAGGGCAGAGGAAAGTCGTGGTGGTGGACGTGGCAATTCCAAGCGATGGTAACATCCGGAAAAAAGAACATGAAAAGCTTGAGAAATACCAAGGTCTCAGAGAGGAGCTGGAGAGGGCCTGGAGGGTAAAGGTGACAGTAGTGCCCGTGGTGATCGGTGCACTCGGGGCAGTGACCCCGAAGCTAGAAGAGTGGTTACAGTGGATCCCCGGAACAACCTCGGACATCTCGGTCCAGAAATGTGCAGTGCTAGGAACAGCAAAGATACTGAGCAGAACCCTCAAGCTCCCAGGCCTCTGGTAGAGGACCCAAACTTAGAGAGGGATAACCGCCCGCGGAGGGCCAAAGGTGAGTGGACATTCTATTATAATAACCGGATTTGGGAACTAGAATATGCAATAATCAACCTTTTTTATTATTATTTATTTAATACATTTCGGCGTCAATCGATTACCCGGAAGTGAAACAAGTTTGCACAGGATTAGTAATACCTGTGGACCCCTGATAATTTATGATAAAGGACGTTTCCATTCACACAGGATAAGCAATATCTGTAAAATACTATTTTCACTGACATCTGACCGGAGAGACCCGCACATGCGCAGGTCTCTCCGCTTCACGCAGTCCAGAGAGTCGCGTCTGACCCATAGATAGCCACAGAGACCATGAGGACAAACATTTTACTGCTCTACAGTTCTCTGGCCCATACTGTCTGTAATGTTTAATAATAGTTTGTCTGGACTACTCGTGAACGCACCACTTACTTTGCTAAGATAAGTGCGAGCCGACAAATAGTAACGGCTGCAGCAACACGTCTGTACTGTATTAGGACTGTATTAGTGCAAAGTAAACGTACAAACACAACCCATCGGTCTGATCATGTAGTGTCAGTGAACACATTACACTGTCCTCTACACTTCTCCATAGACCTCACAGAGACAGCAGCAGCCGCAACTCTGCAGCTGTTCACAGCCGCGACGCCACTCCTCTGCTCATTGACAAAAAACAACGCAGAAAGTAAAGCGAAAGCGGCGATAGCGATCACAATCACGGACATGTAGATTCTCACGAGATTAGTATTATCACAGGACGTCTGTGTTTGGACAAATACAGGAGGTCATTTGCGTAATTAGCGCGAATAGGGCTGAAGTAAACAAACTTGTTTCACTTCCGGGTAATCAATTGACGCCGAAGGTTAATTATTGCATTTTCTAGATCCAAAATCCAGTTATTATAATACACATATGTCTTAAAAGCAAGTGCTCTATATAGCAAGGGCTATATATGCACGGGGAGGCGTGACGTCATTTCCTGTTAACAAAGATCAGCCCGTTCACTTCCTGTCTATGCTATCCTATGGCTTTTAGGTGGGTTGTAGTGACGGTTTTTAGTAATTAGATTGATACATTCAGCTTTGAGACTAACCTAAAAGTGTCGCTGTGCTTTCTCTCTGAGGTAGAGCTTTGACTGTGGCCACTTTGTAAACTTTATAAAAACACAATGACAGCACAATCAAAGAGCACTGCTGTGTCCTGTTGTAGAAATATAACTGGGATTATAAATCAATTTAACTTAAGAATGAATCTAATGATGAATTAGGATATCTGGGACAAAGTTCAAGCTAATCAAGGTATTGATTTATCTCGAGTTTCTTGTGTGTATTACTGGATTTATGGATGTTTTTAGTGCCAAAAACAAATGTAAATGTTGTCTTTTCTCATCGAAAACCACATTTTGAGGGCTGGCAACAAATGATGACCCAAAAAAATCACAGCATTAATATGGACAACTTCAAAAATCAATGAAATATAAATGCATGCATTATGAATGTATTAACAAAGCCATTTCCCATTCTATGTTCACGGTTGCTATGGCAAACGTTTCCATGGCAACCAGAATGTGGTCATTGTGACATCATCAGCAGAACATACAGAGATTAGGTGGCCACAGAGATCGTCTGCATCCACATAAGAAGACACAAGTCTTTGACTTCAACACACACAGAGGACACAGAGCCACAGGCAAACTCACAGCAGAGGACAGAGCAAAATAAGCTTTTAAAGTATCAAGATGGGCAAAAACTCTAAAAAGAGAAGAAACCAGAAAATGTCTCCCAGTGTGGTAGACAGACCCTATGTGGCAAATCAGGAGCTGGCTGCAAAATCCGTAAATTCTGACTTTGAATTTGCAAAACCAGCTGATTCTGAAACAAAAGAGAGTAAGTATGATGCAGGAAAGGACATTTGGTATAAAAGGCCGACTCAGCAGAACAAGGAGGCTCCAGTAACACAGGCCTTATCACCCATTCCTGAGACTGAAGTAGTTGACTCTTCAAGTGAGCTTCCAACTTCTAAAGGTAAAAACAGAAGGAAAAAGGAAACTGTACGGTTACAAAGTCTTCTCATTCAAATGGAGCCAAGCAGAAGAGAGACTCTGACCAATGACGAGGCAGCTCAGAAACCTTCACCTTCTGGGCCTGAAGTAACTCAACCAAGTGTTCACTTCTATGCTGATATCCCCGATGAGTCAGAGGAGTTTAATGGTCCTTCAGTGAGACCTAAAAAGACAAGTTCGATAAAGGCATTAGATCGCTTCTTCTCCAGTATGTCAGATGAAGAGCTAGATATTGATTATTATTGTAGGCCTTTGAAAAACTATGCTAATGACAAAGCAACAAATGTTCAGACAACTCCCACACCAAACCCTTTGTCAATGAAGACGACTGCCCCTTCTAACATTGAGCAGGTCAAGGAGGCACCAGTCCTTGACAAAAAACCTCAAGAAGACCCAAGGATTACTGAGCAGACCTGCCCTGCTTACAGAAACAACAGGGAATATGAAAATGCTTCAAAGGTTTCTGAGCCAACCAATCACCCTGCTTATTTCAAGAAAAGTTACAGTCAAGCAGTATCCACTCCCAGCCGCATGGTCACAAAAGAAAAATGTGATCCAAAGCCTCTGCGGGAGACAGGTCCTTCCGCAAGGTCTCTGCCTGAATTGAGGGATGATGAGGAGGCAAGTGAGGAATTCTGGAGTAGGCCTCAAAGTAGCAAAATGGGAAAAAACTCTAAAAAGAGAAGAAACCAGAAATTATCTCCCAATGTGGTAGACAGACCATGTGTGACAAATCAGGAGCTGGCTGCAAAAGCTGCAAATTATGACTCTGAATCTGCGAAACCAGCTGATTCTGAAACAAAAGAGAGTAAGTATGATGCAGGAAAGGACATTTGGTATAAAAGGCCGACTCAGCAGAACAAGGAGGCTCCAGTAACACAGGCCTTGACACCAATTCCTGAGACTGAAGTAGTTGACTCTTCAAGTGAGATTCCAACTTCTAAAGGTAAAAACAGAAGGAAAAAGGAAACTGTACGGTTACAAAGTCTTCTCATTCAAATGGAGCCAAGCAGAAGAGAGACTCTGACCAATGACGAGAAAGCTCAGAAACCTTCAACTTCTGGGCCTGAAGTAACAAAACCAAGTGCTCACTACTATGCTGATATCCCTGATGAGTCAGAGGTTTAATGGTCCTTCAGTGAGACCTAAAAAGACAAGTTCGATAAAGGCATTAGATCGCTTCTTCTCCAGTATGTCAGATGAAGAGCTAGATATTGATTATTATTGTAGGCCTTTGAAAAATTACCCTAATGAGAAAGCAACAAATGTTCAGACAGCTACACAATCTCAGGCTCCAACACCAAAGCCTTTGCCAATGAAGACGACTGCGCTGGTCAAGGAGGCACCAGTTTTTGACAAAACACCTCAAGAAGACCCATGGAATATTGAGCAGACCCGCCCTGCTTACAGAAACAACAGGGAATATGAAAATGCTTCAAAGGTTTCTGAGCCAACCAATCACCCTGCTTATTTCAAGAAAAGTTACAATCAAGCCGTTTCCACTCCCAGCCGCCTGGTCACAAAAGAAAAATGTGATCCACAGCCTCTGCAGGAGACAGGTCCTTCTGCAAGCTCAATGCCTGAATTGAGGTATTATGAGGAGGCAAGTGAGGAATTCTGGAAAAGGCCTCTGGAATTTTTTTCAACAAGTCTAACAAACATAGAAAATTGGAAAGCCTTGGTTGAAACACTGGAGGTACATTTTGGACTGTCAACATCCAACAACAAGGCAGTGGAAGTGACTGGTCATTCTATAATGGCTGACGATGAATTTGAGGATTTTGATGAGACTTTTATTAGACCTTTAGAGTTTTACAAAACAGGCATGTCCAGACTGGACATGAGTACCACCTACCACTCCATCCATCCATCCATCCATTTTCTTCCCCTTAATCCATTTCTGGGTCGGGGGGGTGGCCAGAGATGCCACCCAGTTCACAGAGCACCAGCCTCTCACTGATCCTCCTGCAGGTGGTGAGTCCACAGGAGCTGAGATCTTTCAGTGGGGGCTTCAGGCAAAGTGGGGTTAAGTGTCTTGCCTAAGGACACAACGACAGCAGTCATCAGTGGGAGTCGTGAAGTAGGTCTTACGGTGGGCTTGAACCCACGACCTTCAGGCTCAAAGGCCAATGCTCTACCAACTGAGCTACTGTGTTGCATTACCACCAATTTTGGCACAAAAGGCCAGGTACACCGACTGAGCAGTCAGTATAACTGGCCATTTGTGGAAAGCAACACATGTTCGGACAGCTACAATATCCCAGGCAACAAGCCTCTGCCCATAAAGGGAATTTCCCTTTCAAACACTGAAACGGTCAAGGTGGCTCCAGTATTTGACAATAAACTTTAAGAGAACAAGGAGGGTCCATTAACACAGGCCTTATCGCCAATCCCTGACAGTGCAATCGTGTTATGAAAGAACCACTGTATCCATTCTGATCCCCAGAGGACTGTTTAAACTGCAAAAAGAAATAAAGAAAATATATTTTACCCTTTAGAGAATGGTGTACAATTTCTTCAGGTCGAATTGATATATGTGATGCATGAGTAAGTGAATATGAGGGACCGATACGATGGTACTGATATTTTTAACATTCAACAACATTTCTGTTGTTGAATGTGTCCATTTATTTTATTTAGTTCTAGACCTTGCTGGCAAAGTTATCAAAGCAGGTCGCAAGGGGATTCTTGAGCACAACTTACATAGTCACACGTGATGGCGATCTCACAAGAGTTTAGAAACCAAAGCGGTCCCATTTACGCTGCTACTTTCTCCTCTTCTGAATAAAAACATTACACGTGTTTCTGTGTGTGTGTGTGTGTGTGTGTGTGTGTGTGTGTGTGTGCGCGCACACACTCTTTAGCAACGAGCGTAAGAGCGCTGAGAAATGAATGAATGAGAATGAAAGAATTAAAAGTGTGGAGTTTGAGGAGAGCGACTGCAGACAGGGAGGTTACAAGTGTGTGTTTGTGTGTGTTCTGGTGATTAAATAAAGACTGATTCTTGAATGTCTGAAGTGTTATTGCAATAGCACCACACTGAGAGCGAGGGTCAGGACCATGGATCTATAATAAAAACGGTCAGGACAGAAGAGAGCTATTCCCGTAAATTTTTAACCGGGCCAGAGCACGAGTCCAGGAATCGTGCTTTAGGCTGCGCATGTGACCGCAGCCTAAGAGGGGCAAATGAGAGGAGGAGCGCTTATAAAGCCACCAGGACGGCTCTTGGGAAAGCAGGCGCACCCTAAACACTGACCTTAAAAGCCGTTTTACCACATCAGCATAGCTCTCACACACGCTGTCTGCCATCTGCCCTGAACAATGCAAACCAAGATTCATCCGTGAAGAGAACACCTCTCCAACGTGCCAGACGCCATCGAATGTGAGCATTTTCCCACTCAAGTCTGTTACGTCGACGAGCTGGAGTCAGGTCAAGACCCCGGTGAGCATGCAGTTCAGCTTCCCTGAGACGCTTTCTGACAGCTTGTGCAGAAATTGTTTGGTTATATGCAAACCAATTGTTTCAGCAGTTGTCTCAGTGGCTGGTCTCAGACAATCTTGGAGGTGAACCTGCTTGATGTGGAGATCCTGGGCTGGTGTGGTTACACGTGGTCTGTGGTTGTGAGGCCGGTTGGATGTACTGCCATATTCTCTGAAACGCCGTTGGAGACGGCTTATGGTGGAGAATTGAACATTCAATGCACGAGCAACAGATCCGGTTGACATTCCTGCTGTCAGCCAATTGCACGCTCCCTCAATGCTTGTGGCATTTTGCTGTGAGACAGAACTGCACATTTCAGGGTGACCTTTTATTGTAGACCGTCTAAGGCACACCTGTGCACTAATCCTGATGTCAGATCAGCATCTTGATGTGGCACACTTGTGAGGTGGGATGGATTATCTCAGCAAAGCAGAAGTGCTCACTATCACAAATTTGGACAGATTTGTGAACGATGTTTGAGAGAAATGGTATTATTGTGTATCTGGAATGAATTTTAGATCTTTAAGTCCATCTCCTCTCCAGGTGGGTGGAGAGGTCCTTCCTCAAGTGGAGGAGTTCAAGTATCTCGGGGTCTTGTTCACGAGTGAGGGAAGGATGGAGCGTGAGATTGACAGGCGGATCGGTGCAGCGTGCGCAGTGATGCGGTCTCTGTATCGGACCGTTGTGGTAAAGAGGGAGCTGAACCGAAAGGCGAAGCTCTCGATTTACCGGTCAATCTTCGTTCCCTCCCTCACCTATGGTCATGAGCTTTGGGTAGTGACCGAAAGAACGAGATCGCGGATGCAAGCGGTCGAAATGAGCTTCCTCCGTAGAGTGGCTGGGCGCTCCCTTAGAGATAGGGTGAGGAGCTCGGTCACACGGGAGGAGCTCGGAGTAGAGCCGCTGCTTCTCCACGTCGAGAGGAACCAGTTGAGGTGGCTCGGGCATCTGTTCAGGATGCCTCCTGGACGCCTTCCTGGGGAGGTGTTCCGGGCACGTCCCACCGGGAGGAGGCCCGGGGAAGACCCAGGACACGCTGGAGAGACTATGTCTCTCAGCTGGCCTGGGAACGCCTTGGGGTCCCCCCGGACGAGCTGGAGGAGGTGTGTGTGGATAGGGAAGTCTGGGCGTCTCTGCTTAGACTGCTGCCCCCGCGACCCGGCAACGGATAAAGCGGAAGAAAATGGATGGATGGATGGAAGTCCATCTCATGGAAAGAGGTTCCACCAGAAGTCAGACATGAAGAAACACACCTTCATCCACACAGGTGCTCTTCTACTCCCACTCTACACACACTGCAAACACACACGACACACACAAACACAACACACCCACTACACACAAACTACAAACACACTACAAGCAGAGTGTCCTGAAAAGCGCTATATAAAACCAATGCATTATTATTATTATTATTAATAAACTACACACGCACGCACACACACACACACACACACACACACACACACAAACACCCTACTACACACTATATACACCTAATAGACATTATAGACGCCTATTTAAAACACTACATAATACACACCCACTACACACAAACACACAATAAGCACTACACACACACACACACACATACACACACACACACTACACACAGCCTGGTGTCTGACCCATGTCCTCCACAGGTGAGAAACCACATGTGTGTAAAGTGTGCGGTAAAGGATTCAGCCAGAGTTCTAACCTCATCACCCACAGCCGCAAGCACAGCACCTACAGGCCCTTCCACTGCCCCCAATGCGAGCTCAGCTTCCAGCGCAGAGTGGACCTACAGCGCCACCAGGAGATGCCCTGTGTGTACAACACATACACATGCACATTTCCCTGGAAATAAAGGCACTTAAGAAGGAAAGCTGATGTTGCCGTAAACTGGATTATAATATGGCAAATACTGTATTTATCTCTCATCTTCTCACAAGACTGTGTCTCCACAGAAAACGGAATACTGTATTCAGGACAATACACACCAGAAACCAGCCGTTTAAAGTAAAAGGATGTGTTATTTCCTTTTTTAAGCCATTTATTTTAAAGGGCCCTTATTAAGCTTTTCCACTTTTCTCTGGTTAAACATGATTACAGTGCTATTAGGGCGGCAGTAGCTCAGTTGGTAGAGCGTTGGCCTTTGAGCCAGAAGGTCGTGGGTTCAAGCCCCGCTCAAGACTTTCACCACCATCTCCCACTGACTACTGACGTTGTGTCCTTGGCAAGACACTTAACCTCTGGGACACCAGCCACAGTGGGGCGGCTGCGGCTGTAAAGTGCCAAACTGCCGTTGTGTCCTTAGGCAAGACACTTCACCCCCATTGCCTAGAATGAGTCTGGTGTGTGTGTGTGTATGAATGGTTGGTGGTGGTCGGAGGCGCCGATGGCGCATACTGGTTGCCTCGCTTCTGTCAGTGTGCCCCAGGGCAGCTGTGGCTACAGTAGTAGTTTATCACCACCGTGTATAATGACATGTGAAGCGTCTTTGAGTGTCCAAAAAAGCGCTATATAAAACCGATGCATTATTATTTGGCCTTCATACACAAGTCCTGAGTAGATTTTTCATTGATTCCGTCAATCTTAAATTAGAGAGCGATCTTTCTCTTTCATTCTCCAGAGGCACAGAAACGAGCTGATTCAAATTGTGACGTGGCACAATCCGTGACGTCAAAAGCGTCACTGATTGACAGCGAGGAAAAACTGAACCAGCGAATCAGTGCCATCTATGCAGCCCATGCAGCAGGGCTGGACTGGCCATCGGGCGTACCGGGCAATGGGCCGATGCCCATATTTGGGCCGGTTTGTCTGCCTCATACAAAAAACATGTTTGTGAAAAGTGTAAATCCGTTGAGAAATGTTTGAGGGGAGCGCGCGTGTCCGCGGGGCACCTGCTGTATGTACTCGAACGGGATTCCACCACCTCAGCGGCCGCAGTGTTCCCGCATCCCGCATCCAGCGGCTCTGAGCTGGACGCTCACCGGGAACCGCTCACAACACAACACGGTGAGCGCGTCCGCCGCAAACGTGGACCATGTACCCAAGACCGATAAACCACGCACAGGACCATGCATGTCTTTTCGTAATTTGTGCACCCCCAATAAATACACCGCTGCTGAAAACACGTCTGCGTCTCCCCTCTCCTCTAAATTAAAGCTCGGGGTCCTACCATTTTCCATTGCATTTAAAGTTCATGTTTGAGCCCCCAAAACAAAAAAAAAAATGTAAAATGTTGTGAACAGATTAAACAGATTTAGAGCCAGCTAATGGCTGACAATATGCCATTTCAGAAATGTTTACAACCCCAATTCTCATCCCTGTAACAAACCAATAGTGTTGTCTGTGTCACCTCCCTCACTCTGAGACATGTTTATTACTCTGTTTAAATGTAGACTATTGTACTTTATTTTATTGTTTGAAACTGCAGACATCCTGATCCTCTACAGTATTTGCTTCCACATACTGTATAAACCAAGGGGTCGGCAACCTTTAGTGCCCCTAAAGTGGCTCCTGGAGCCTTTTCAAAAATGTCTGAAAATGGAGTGTGAGGGCTATATTTTTAATTTCTAGTTTCAATGTGGTTTCTGTAGGAGGAAAAACATTCTTAACGTTTTTCAATGCTGCCAAAAACTTCAATTTCATTTTCAATTTTAGCATTTCTGTCAACGTATGTTCGTCATATCCTGTGACGCGCCCGTGCCAGGCGGCCGCTGCTGTAAACAAACCGGTGTAACCGCCGAGATACACTGTCTTGAAGAGATACTGACAGTTTTCAAAAGGTTCAAGGAGCCATATTTGACAAAAAACAAATAAAACAGCGTTGTATAAGGCTTATAAGAAGGTAACAGGGGCTGAAGCTTGTATTAGCTACATTAGCTACATAGCTACATTAGCTCCCTTAGCTTACCTTAGAAACATTTAGACTAATATCTAAATGACAAAGTAAAGGGCTAAACACATAAAACCATTCATGATTATCAAATGTGTATTTTCATTGCCAGCATGTCCTGGAGAGAATGACGGACCACGTGACGACTCTGCTTTAATTTTAACCTTCATGCAATTGTACAAATAGAGTAAAAATAAATATGCTTTTTGGCTCCGAGTTCACTGCATCACTGTCTGTTTCATATCCATCACAGGCTGAAGTTTGCTGGAGCTGAAATGTCCTTACTTGGCCTTTTCTGTTCACCGTCTTTGCGAAGGTTTTTGAAGTCTGAAAATAGGTGCTCTAGACTTTATGATGAATGAATCTTTCAGTGAAGGGTTGTTTTACAAGTTCATTGTTCCTCCTGTTGCAACAAAACTTCTTCATTAACATCGCAAACATTGAAGCGTCCATTCCTCATTGACTGAAAGCAAATGTTTCATTACTCATTCTTAGTCCAGTCTTATCGGGACTCTCTCTCTTTATCTTCTGGGATCCATGCGCACACACAGTCTATAATGTCTCACCACGCAGGGTGTAACGCGAGATACACTGTTCTTGAAGGATGCACTGCTACAGCTGTTTATGATGTAAATGCTAAACCTGCGCATGGCGCGTCTCAACGGCAAACGAAGCATACCAAAGATGGCGGACCGTGAATTGCTTTAAAAGTTGAAATTACGAACGAATTAAGACACGAATGTCACTTTTAATGCAATTTGAGGCGAGATGTTGATGGTTACAGGTGTAACGCCGAGATACACCTGTCTTGAAAGAGATGCAACTGCCTCAGCTGTTTATGATGTAATGCAAACCTGCGCATGCGCGTCATCACGGCAACCGACGCATACCAAGATGGCGGACCGTGAATTGCTTTAAAAGTTGAAATACGAAGAAATTAAGACACGAATGTCACTTTTAATGCAATTTGAGGCGAGATGTTGATGGTTCCGTTTTGTCCTCATACAAAAACATGTTTGTGAAAAGTGGTAAATCCGTTGAGAAATGTTTGAGGGGAGCGCGCGTGTCCGTGGGGCACCTGCTGTATGCACTCGAACGGGATTCCACCACTTCAGCGGCCGCAGTGTTCCCGCATCCAGCGGCTCTGAGCTGGACGCAGGAGCCGCTCACCGGGAACCGCTCACAACACCACACGGTGAGCGCGTAGCCGCAACGTGACCATGTACCCAAGACCATAAACGCGCACAGGACCATGCATGTCCTTTCGTAATTTGTGCACCCAATAAATACACCGCTGCAGAAAACAGTCCGCGTCTCCCCTCTCCTCTAAATTAAAGCTCGGGTACCTACATTTTCCATTGCATTAAAAGTTCATGTTTGAGTCCAAAAGTAAAATGTTTTGAACAGATTAAACAGATTTAGAACCAGCTAATGGCTGACAATATGCATTTCAGACATTTTTGACCAATTCTCATCCCTGTAACAAACACTGTCTGTGTCCACCTCCCTCACTCTGAGACATTTGTATTACTCTGTTTAATGTAGACTATTGTACTTTATTTTATTGTTGAAACTGCAGACATCCTGATCCTCTACAGTATTTGCTTCCACATACTGTGTAAACCAGGGGTCGGCAACCTTTAGTGCCCCTAAAGTGGCTCCTGGAGCCTTTTCAAAAATATCTGTTTGAATGTGGTTTCTGTGGGAGAAAAAAACATTCTTAACGTTTTTCAATTCTGCAAAAACTTGTTTGAGTAATATTCAATTTTAGCATTTCTGTCAACGTAGTGCGTCATATCCTGTGACGCGGCCCGTGCCAGGCGGCCGCTGCTGTAAACAAACCGGCGTGTGCACATCATAGACTGTGTGCGCATGGATTCCAAAGATAAAGAGAGAAAGAGTCGATAAGACTGGACTAAGAATGAGAATGAACATTTGCTTTCAGTCAATGAGGAAGGACTGCTTCATGTTTGCGATGTAATGAAAAGTTTTGTTGCAACAGGAGGAACAATTAAGCTTTAAACACCGTTCACTGAACTAACTTCACTGCTAATGTAGCTAATGTAGATAATACAGCTTCAGCCCCTGTTACCTTCATATAAGCCTTATACAACGCTGTTTTTTTTTTTTTTTTTGCGGCTCCAGACAGATGTTTTTAGTTTTTTTTGTCAAATATGGCTCCTTGAACCTTTTGAGTTGCCTGGGCCGCTAAGAAGGAAAAAATGCCCGGGCCGTTTTTTTGTCCCAGTCCAGCCCTGCTGAGGAGTGTGATCCCACGATAATTGGAACACACCCTCCGGTCCCCCTTCTTGTAGAGAGGGACCACCACCCCGGTCTGCCACTCCATTGGCACTGCCCCCGATTGCCACGCGATGTTGCAGAGACGTGTCAGCCAAGACAGTCCTACAACATCCAGAGACTTTAGATAATCAGGGCGGATCTCATCCACACCCGGAGCCTTGCCACCATGGAGGCTACCAACCACCTTGGTGACCTCAGCCAGGGAGATGGATGTACCCGCCCTAACGTCCTCAGCCTCTGCCTCTGTAACAGAGGACGTGACGGGGGGATTGAGGAGAACCTCAAAGTATTCCTTCCACCGCCCGACAATATCCCCAGTCGAGGTCAGCAGCTCTCCACCCGCACCGTACATGGTGTTGGCAAAGAACTGCTTCCCCCTCCTGAGGCGCCGGATGGTTTGCCAGAATCTCTTCGAGGCCGACCGATAGTCATGCTCCATGGACTCTCCGAACTCCTCCCAGTCCCGGGTTTTTGCCTCTGCAACAGCCCGGGCCGCGGCACGCTTGGCCTGCCGGTACTGGACAGCTGCCTCAGGAGTCCCCCGAACCATCATGGCTCGATAGGACTCCTTCTTCAGCCTGACAGCATCCCTTACTGCCGGTGTCCACCACCGGGTTCGGGGGTTGCCGCCGGGACCAGCACCAGAGACCTTGCAACCACAGCTACGAGCCGCCGCATCGGCGATTGAGGCAGAGAACGTGGTCCACTCGGACTCCATGCCCCCCTCCTCCGCCGGGACCTGGGAGAAACTCTCCCGGAGGTGTGAGTTGAAAGTCCGTCTGACAGGGGGCTCAGCGAGACGTTCCCAGCAGACCCTCACTATACGCTTGGGTCTGCCAGGTCTGGCCGGCTTCTTCCCCTGCCAGCGGATCCAACTCACGACCAGGTGATGATCGGTTGACAGCTCCGCCCCTCTCTTTACCCGAGTGTCCGAGACACGCGGTCGAAGGTCAGATGATACGACAACAAAGTCGATCATCGACCTCCGACCTAGGGTGTCCTGGTGCCACGTGCACTGGTGGACACCCTTGTGCTCGAACATGGTGTTCGTGATTGACAAACTCTGACTGGCACAGAAGTCCAACAACTGAACACCGCTCGGGTTCAAATCAGGGGAGCCGTTCTTTCCGATCACCCCTCTCCAAGTGTCACTGGCGACTCCCACATGGGCGTTGAAGTCCCCCAGGAGAATAACGGAGTCCCCGGGCGGTGCACCGTCCAGTACCCCTCCCAAGGACTCCAAGAAGGCCGGGTACTCTGCACTGCTGTTAGGCCCGTAGGCCGTCACAACAATGAGAGACTTGTCCCCCACCCGGAGGCGGAGGGACGCGACCCTCTCATTCACCGGGGAGAACTCCAACACGTGGCGGCTGATATGGGGGGCAATGAGAATGGCCACCCCAGCTCGCCGCCTCTCCCCGCGGAAAACTCCAGAAAAGTGGAGCGTCCAACCCCTCTCAAGGAGTTGGGTTCCAGAGCCCAAGCTGTGTGTGGAGGTGAGGCCGACTATCTCTAGTCGGTATCGCTCAACCTCCCCCACGAGCTCGGGCTCCTTCCCCCCCAGTGAGGTGACGTTCCACGTCCCAAGAGCCAGATGTTGTGTGTGCGGACTGGGTCGCCGAGGTCTCCGCCTTCGACTGCCGCCCAGTCCTCTCAGCACCGCGCCACCACGGACCCCTCTGCAGGTGGTGGGCCCACAGGAGGGACTGCCCACGTCATCCCTTCGGGCTGAGCCCGGCCGGGCCCCGTGGGCTAAGGCCCGGCCACCAGGCGCTCGCATACGAGCCCCGACCCCAGGCCTGGCTCCAGGGTGGGGCCCCGGCTGCGCCATGCCGGGCGACGTCACTGCTCTCGTTATAGTGCGATCCATGGTGGTTTTTGGACTGCGCTTCGTCTGACTCGTCACCCGAGACCTGTCTGCCATGGGAGGCCCTACCAGGGGCATGAAGCCCCAGACAGCATAGCTCCCAGGATCATCCGAGTACTCAAACTCCCCCACCACGTTAAGGTGGCAGTCCAGGGGGCAAAAAATAAATTTATGATGAAAAATATGACAATAATATTCAGTCAGCGAAATGAACACTGCTTTACACTGCAGCTTTACACCGAGGCTTTGCCTTAAGGCTTTCCTCATGCTATAACTGCATCTGATCAAATATTCACATCCATAAATAAACAGGGATTTCCTTCTTTCCCTCTAACAATATTTACCCAGAAAATCCAGTCTGAGTCTGAGTACAGCTAGAAGAGTTGTTTGGAAGACCCAAACTGTCAAAAGAATGAATTAATGAACAAATAAATACATTTTTAGATAATGCTTCAAAATATGCAATAAATATATTGCAAATCATAATTGTTTTCAACTTTATTTTTTTTTTAAACCTTACTTTTTTGTCTGCATTTATTTATTTTCTTCATATCTTCATTTATTTCCTTTTTTATTGATTTTGTTTGATTATTCCAAATACATTATTTTTTTGTTCGCTTTGGACCAAATGCAAATGAAGAGGCAGCCACAGATTGCCTCATGGCTCTGCATGATCTGTGGTTTTGATCATTTTCACTTTGCATGGATGGTTTCTGCACGTTTTTCTTTTGGACAATAGATTATTCCACAATCAGATGAAGGTTATAGCGAGACACATATGTCTTCCAACTGTTTTTGTGGAGTTTACAAAGTCGACAGGGAGTTTGGGGAATGAAAACGAGGCATTATGATAACTGGGTTGTTTGGTAATCTGGTGAGCAGGAGGTTTGTTTGTTGGTTCCTTTCTGATCATGGAAACAGAGCCCGCGCTGCGGTTGTGGGTGTGTTTTCATTCCACACTTCATTGTCACAGCTCTAATTATCCCAGAGCGCAGAAGCAATCAGCCCCAAGCAGGAGGGGACCTAGGCAGGGACTGAGGCGGGGACTGAGGCGGGGACTGAGGCGGAGACTGAGGCGGAGACTGAGGCGGAGACTGAGGCAGGGACTGAGGCAAGGACTGAGGCAGGGACTGAGGCAGGAACAAGCATAAAATGTCTTGTTTGGCTTCAGCCTCAGGGACAATACTCGGATTTCAGGTTGTGTGAAGCCCTTTCTTGTCAAATAAACATGTTTTCTATGTTTAAATGATGGTAGAAACTCTGTTCTCTCTCTTGTCTCTCTCCCTGGTCTCTATCTCTCTCTCCCTCTTCGTTTGTGTGTTCTGTGCACATCTGTCTGCTCCCTGCCATTACATGGTCGTTGCTCGTTTCCAAGACAACTCTGGAGACCCCCCTCCCCCTGTCCACCATTGCCATAGCGACACGCCAGGCCAAACCTGTCTGTGCCGTACGACAATGACAGGAAGATGACAGACAAAAACAGCCAATAGAGTCATTATAACTGGACATAACACTACAAGTTCCTTATGTCTTCTTTTATGTTCAAGACTTGGGAGGTTCTTTTAATAAGACAAATGTAAAGAAGCTGGCGCTGCTTAATTACCTACTAGCTTCTTTATACTTGTTTTATTATGTAAACCAGTGTTTTTCAACTACTGTGTGATATTGTCTGGTGTGGCGTGGGAAATTTTCCTACTTTGTCTAATAATAAAGGCATCCGCAAATAATGTGCCAATGGCGAGTACTGACTTGTTTTGACCCGTAGAGTACCCACTGTTACTTTTTCATACCAGTCGATGGTAGCAGACAGGTAACTACATTGAGACGTAAGAATTGGATACCACCACAGGATGTAACAGGTAGCGGAGACAGAGCATGGAATCGCATTGTGGCTAGTGAGAAGTGAAAGAGATTGAGACGTTTTTGAAAAGGAATTATGCCATTTCCGAATTGGACCCTGGACTGAAGGCTTTGTAAGCAGAGTGAAGGAGAGAAGCTCAGCTGTGATTGTTAAGCACTGTTTTTTGTTTTACTCAGTGAGGCCCTAGTAGCAAAGACATTACCTGCAGACCTTGTTCCTGCTTTGGATGATGTTGGATGATGAAAAGCCGCATATTTGTGTCTTTGTGTGAGGCAATGGGAGCAGAGTGAGTAGAAATACCGTATAATAATACACAATAATATTTTTTCATTGTGATGATGCATATTTCTCACTTTGATGAAAAATTGTAAAAATAGGTTACAGAGTATATATTCCTACATTTTGAAAAACACTGATGTAAACAAACCTCAGATAGAAGTGCTGTGTGTGCTGTGTGCAGGAGCTGTTCACGCTGGAGTGTAAGTTCAAAGAGTCGGTGTTTGAGAACTACTACGTGATCTACAGCTCCATGTCGTATCGGCAGAAGGAGTCCGGCCGGGCGTGGTACCTGGGCCTGAACAAGGAGGGCGCTGTGATGAAGGGGAACCGCGTGAAGAAGACCAAGGCCGCCGCTCACTTCCTGCCCAAGCCCATAGAAGGTAACGCACTTCCTCCTCACACACACAGAAGGTAATGCACTTCCTAGCAACCATCTTAGCAACACGTCTGTCCCTGTTACAGCGCAAAGCTGTACCAGAAAACCAGCTCCGGTTCAAATCGGCCTCTTTCGCATTAAAAGAACCGTACCCTTTTTTATTTTCTAATGAGTAAATAAAAATGCGTATTACTACATACAAGTTGTATTTAAACTAGGGCTGTCAAAATAATTGCGTTAACGCAAGTTAATTAAATTTTGCGTCACTTTGTGTGACTCCTCCACTTACACAAGGGGTGGTGCTGTTGCAAACAGACCGCCTCCTCTAGCATCTGCAGCGCAGGTAAACACAGCAGCATGTTAGCAGAAAGTGGCTATAACTCCTCTGGCTGTAACTGCATACACAGCATCGCAGCCCAACGGACGCAACAGTGAGGAGGAGAAGATGGAAGTAAAGTGAAAAAATGATCAAAGAAGAAATCAAGCCCGGGTGAACATAGGTAGCTCCTCGCTGGAGAGATCTGCAGGTGCGGGACTGCCTTGGACTAAATTTGAGCGCTAAACTGGCGGTAATCTTTCAGTTATTGTACAGTATATATTGTTAGCAGTGCGTTGCTTTAGTACTATTTCATCAGTGATTGTTGTACAGCATATGAGAAGTTGTGCTAATGCTAATGTTAGCATACCTATCAAATTGCTACCAAAACTTGATAGCTCCGTAGGAGGAGAGCATAGGGGAGGGTAGGAGTGTTTCTCAAAATGAGAAGCCTGTGAGCGAGTTGGAGGGCGGTATTAAATATTCAAACTGAAAAAAATCCTTGCAGAAACAGATATAGCTCCTTTAAGGTAAACACTATGGTGCAGAGGTCCTGGCTACTGCCAGAGAGAATCTGGTTCTTCATTAGCTCTCAGTGACAGTCACCCTGTGTTTCTCTGCTTTGTCTCTGCTGCAGTTGCGATGTACCGCGAGCCGTCTCTACATGACGTGGGGGAAACAGCGCCTAAATCCTCCAAGAGTGCCACACCTGCCCCAGCCAATGGAGGCAAACCACTCAGCCAGCCCACTAAGGAGCCCACATAACAGCAGGAGAGCGGGGAGGCCTGAGCGAACACACTGCTGTTGGAAACACGAGCAAACGGATCAAAACCCACCAGAACCGGAACAAGACCGGACCAAGACCGCTCTGCCAACCCAGTAAGGAGAGGGTTAGGGTTAGGGTGGGCGGACACCCCTGCTGCTGGTAAATGGACCAAACCAAGGACCAAGGCCAAGTCCCGCCTCCACGACCATGTGATGGGACAGAGCTGCACAGGTGACCAGATGACAGCGGACACGATAATAGCTGCATCCCAATTTGAACAGATACCTCTTCTCTCATCCTTCCTCGTCCAAGAAAAAACAAGACCATGAGTATTTTTAGTTTTGCATTTCATGTTTTAGAATGAGAGAAAATGTACGGTATACAGTTAACACAAAAAGACAGAAATGTTGTGGTTGAGTGAAGCCATTTCTGTCAAATAATCTATGCTTTCTATTTTGAAATGAGAATACTGGAAACTCTGACTTTGATCAGAGTTTCCCTTTCAGAGGTCTCTATCGCAGTTCTGGTCTCTCTGGTCTATCTCATTCCTGTAAATTCCTGGGCAGTCTTGTATGAGCAGCACCAGAGCGGCTAAACATTGTTATCATTTGAAAATAGAAACATGTTTGATGGTAAATGACATCACACAACCACCAACGATGAGTGGGGGGGTTTGTGTTGCATCCATAACCTCTGAACAAGTCAACCTTTAACACTAGAACTCCCAGAGCAGTCAATTTGACGGTTTTTATATTTGGAAGTGTAGTTTCTCACCATTATTTTTTTATTACATTATATTTTATTTTTGAAATGTGAGTAGTTCTACCATTGACCACTTTGTTACTTCTCTAGTAGTGAACACCACAAAAACATATGATAAAAACATTAGCAAACTGTTAACGTTTGCATAGCATGAACGTTAGCCTTGTGAGGACCACGGATGACACACGTCGGACTGCAAATATTAACGGAAGTAGTCACAACTAACTCTGCCGTTGAAACTAATGTGCCATCGCTTTTGGCTTCTATGGGGCTTTTTCAAAATGGCCATGGGTTGCCTTTCCCACAGGCAAATGTGAAAAAACGCATTTCCCGCATGCGTTAGCCGGCACCAGCCCCATTCATTTAACAAGTGTCTTCTGAAGTCCACAGCAGCTAAACTAGAGTGGTCCACTAAAATATACTCCCCCCAGCATTGACAGGCATCTGGAAAGTAGCTGTGGGTCAAGAGCCAACTTTTGGACCATCCTGTAAAGCCGTTTTCTATAGGAAAGAAGACGCCATACATAAGCTCTGGAGAATTCTCTTTCTGGATCCACCCCCACTGGCTAGGAGTAGGATTGCAAGCATGTCAGCGCAATTGGTCATGGAGCCCCACGCCCACGGTTTGGCCGCAACCTTATAATAGTCGAGCGACAAAAAATTAGGGCAAAATCGCCCAGCATTAGAGCCTGGAAATAGTTGTAATTTAGGTACCGAGCTTTAATGAGAATATCACTGTTGTCAGTGGAACAAGCAAGTTTTATTCACAAGTTTTAAAAGTGCAAACAATGTTTCAGTAGTTTCAGAATTCTGGGAGTCTTAGTGTTAAAGGACTTGGGCCCATGAGGAGATGGGAGGATGAGGATAGAGCTGTTATATGTGTATCTTAACTGTTTAGGTGCGAGTTGAGTTTCTGACGGTCCATATATGGTCAGTTTCTTCTGGAACATCTCAGCGACACCTGGACGATCGAGCAGTGCTGTGTCTCTGTGTTGAACGTCTGGGACCAAAACCAGAGAAAGCACGCCCAAAACGCCACAGATGAGAATGAGTGAGCTGCAGAGTTACAATAGAGTTGTAGTGGCAACTACTGAAATACTTAAATACTGCCACATGAACGCAACCTACTCAGTTTCACAGAGGCTATAACTCTGGTCTCTCTTTCTGGTCTTTCTTCCCTCTTTCTTGCTCTGGTCTCGTTCTGGCCTCTTTATGGTCTTTCTGGTCTCTCTCTTGTCACTACAACATGAATGCAGTGTATATAGTGGCTATACTGTTCTAGTTGAGTCCAAGTCAGATCCAACTTCTGACTTAGTCCAGACCTGGTCCAGACCTAGTCTGACCTAGGTCTGGACCAGGTTTATGGTCCAGATTTTATTCCAACCTGGCCCAGTTCTGTCACAATAACTGAAAGTGCGGCACAGAAAAGGCCTAGTCCTAAACATAACTATAAAGTACTAATAATATAATAGTATCTTCGGTGGCTGAGTCTGCATGAGTCTGTAGGGGGCGCTAGCGGACGTAGCATTAGCACGTAGCAGTCGGTGTTTACATGGAGTAGCAGCAGAGTCTGTAGTTTTTTGCCTTTGCGATACTTGAAGCTAAAGGAGGTGGTGGGGTCAAACAGGGTCAAACGCAGCCATGCACTATACAATTATCACGATGCCCCACGCTAACGAAGAACGCACATGGTTTTCAGGAGGAATATGTTTGTACGATGGGCTCTGTGCTTGGGAGCGGGACAGTGGAGACTGGGTCCCTCTCCGGTCCCTCTCACTCTTTCGTCTCTTTCTGGTTTCAGGGCAAATGAAGCTAACAAAGCTAATCAGGACGCACTCCCAGTTTTGCTCACAGGAGATAAACCTGGTTAGCTCCAAACAGACTTTATATTGATTGATTATTGATCATAGATGATTGAATGCAGTCTGTGGTTAAACCATAGAATTTAAATAACAACGGACGTAGTTTCCGCTGTTGAAACTAATGTGCCATCACTTTTAATTCTGTGGGGCTTTTTCAAAATGGCCACGGGTAGCCCCTTTCGCAAGAAAACGAGAAAAAAAACACATTTCTGCACCAGCCCCATTCATCTAATGAGTGCACTCTGAAGTCCACAGTATGTCAGCGCACGTGCTTATGGAGGTGCTTGTGGATGCAGAACCCCCACTAGATTAAACTCAGACTGTGAATATTGCTTAGGTTTAAGCAAAACTGTCTGTTTGCTTAAACCTACATTTAAAATGACAAAGCTATTGGCGTTAGCTTAGCTCAGGTAACCACACGCCCGCTCGCACACAGAGCCCATTTAAGAGGAACAGTTTTATTTATGTATTATTATTATAATTGCTTTGTGTAACAAATCAATGTTCAACGGAGGAAAGGAAACAAACCAACACCAACAAACCAAAAAGACCGCGACCCATTTGAGCCTCTCACTGTGACAAAACAATCCGCCGCAGACAACTGTAACTGAACGCACCGCAGACCGCCGAGTTTGAAAGAACACAAACTCAGGAAGCAACAACACGTGTGGTCAAGGAACAACACGTGTGGTCGTCAGGACAACGAGAATCGGACAAACACCTACTGTGTCGACAAATGTCAGAAACAAGAAATGTTCAAAATCATCTATTTTGTCACATTTAGGACCTTTCAGTTGTTAAGTTTTTATTTTAATTTAAAATATTATTTTTGAAATATTTGCTTTAATTATTAGATTTGTTTGATAAATACAATTGGGAATGTTGTGAAATATTTTTATAATTTTTTTATTTTTTATTTTTATTATACTAAATAAAATAATAATCATAAGGAGCTAAATTACAAAAGTTTTCCAAATGTAACGAAGCAAACAGTCTTCGGATGTTTTTTTTCTTGGAGGAAAGGTCTTGTTTACATAAATATAAAGTACGTGAAACTTTCTGAATGTGTTCAACATTTGAGGAAATTGATTTTTCAGTAAATGCTGTAGATTCTAGTAGTGCCTCCGCCGCGGCACCAGGAGAGACTCCTACTCCGATAATCCTACACACTGCTCCTTATCCTCCTCTGTGAGACTGGTCCAGACTGGGTTTAGATCTGCTCCAACCCAAAATTGTCTTTTCACTTGTAACAGTGTGTTTTGAGAGGGGGAGGGTGGGACAGAGTGTTTTGAGAGGGGGAGGGTGGGACAGAGTGTTTTGAGAGGGGGAGGGTGGGACAGAGTGTTTTGAGAGGGGGAGGGTGTGGGACAGAGTGAGAGGAGGCGATCTCTCTGTGGCCGCGGCTCCTGTTTGTTTCCTCGGACTAAAGCTGTTTGTTCATTGTTTATATCTAATCTTTGTGGAAAGGTCTGTGATCAAACGACAATCAGAGAAAAGTCAAATATTTGTGAAAGTGTTTGGTCAGAAGTGCAGCCTCAGCAGCGACCGGCTGCCGTCCATTGTTTTAAAGTTCAGATTTCGTCTGATTTATTCTATATTTTCTCACATTCTAATGTTTTCCAAAGTGGAGCTGAAAGAGGGGAGATGAGCCAAACCCCAAATCAGAAACAGATTTTTTGTATTTTAAAACATTAAAATTTTCGAATTACACATTTATATTTTCATGTTTTAAGCTTTAAATATTTACAATCTATGATTTTATTCACAATATTTGAGAAATGTATCAATATACTTAAAATCAGAAACCTTTCTGTGGAGAAGCGTTATCACCGAAGTCCAGGTCCAGTGTGAAATTAAAGCTGGGGTACGTAACTTTCAAAACCCATGGCTCGAAAACAGTTGCTTCTGTCACTAGTTCTATTTCATCCTTCCTCTGGCGTTCATCCAGGATTATTAGAACCGTAGTTACAGTCGTAACTCTCGTTTTATGTATTTCTGTCTCTGCCACATCTTCAGATTAAAGAGAGGACCTCCCTCTCAGCCCAAAGAGTCAAATACTGACTCAGTTTTCTAATACGTTGTGGTCTGATTTGTTCCCGACACTGTAGAATAGAACTTTTCCTTACTACATTTACACACATACACTATATATAGAATAGAAAAGTTACATATTCATGTTTGAAAAGTTACGTACCTCAGCTCTATTCAGATCAGACTGCTTCTTCTGTACACGTGTGAAAGCTTCCAGAACCTGCTATTAAAACATGTGATTTCTTTTTGGGAAATTTCCAACACAAAACCTCTGAATTAAAGCATGTGTTTAAACTCCGGCTCGACAGACTATGTAGTCCTCCCCTTCTTGTGACAGTGTTTGAATCCACAACTCTCACGTTTGGAGCGAAGCCCTGTGTGTGTGTTTGTGTGCAGTTATTATGCAAGTGTCCAGTGCTGTGTGTCTGTTCTATACACGCAAATATTATTCAATAAACATTTATACCAAGAAAACACTGCTTCAACCTGTGTCATGGAATAAAGAGAGCAGAGACAAGAGAGAAACCTGAGAGAAACCAGAGAGACTAGAGAGTCCACGGTGGCTGAGTAGGTAGCACTCTCGCTTCTCAGCAAGAAGGTTCTGGGTTCGAATTCCGGTCGGAACAGGGCCTTTCTGAGTGGAGTTTGCATGTTCTCCCCGTGTCTGCGTAGGTTTCCTTCCTGTACTCCGGTTTCCCCTACCACTAAAAACGTGTGCAATAGTTCAGTGTGAATGAGTGTGTGTTTGTGAGTGCAAATGTGGGACAACAGATGCAAATCAGCCCATGGCTACAATCCGGAGTGATGTGTTCATTAACATGTACTATCCCAACAAAATAAACAATAAAACAAACAAAACCAGAGGGAGTTATACCAGAGAATAACCAGAGGTGTATGGATCTAAACACAACTGCAGGACTGTGACTGATGAGTAACAATGAAGGAACATGGATAAAAGAGGTCCTGGTTTAGTATGTGCGTGTGTGTTTCCATTCATGAAAGATTATTGTGGCCATCTCCATGGTAACAGACCACACGCAATGACGTGTGATTGGCCGATCAGTATTCAGGGAGCACACTCAGTGTGAGTCAGTGACACCGAGGGGTCTGGAGCTGAACCAGGTCTGGTCCATATCCGGTCCAGACCTGAATATAATAATACTAATGCATAGTGGTCTGAAGTCCAGGTTTACTCCTGGTATAGACCCAGACCTGGGTCAGACTTGTTTTAGTACTGGTATCGACCCAGAACTGGTTCAGACCTAGTATAGACCCAAACCTGGTTCAAACACATTAGTGAACTTAGAAAATATTTTTATTGAAACCAAAATAATGGTGTATTTTTCAGTCTCTTGTTACTGCGGTTACAATGTGTCTTTATTATCTGTACAGCTGTAGGAGGAACAGGAAGCACTCCAAATAAGGTTGTGTGAAGTAATATGTCAAATATATTACATTCATGGAGTTAGGAGGAAATTTGGTTTAGTCTCGAATGGCTCCTTTTCTCAAGGCCACGGCTGCTTTGTTCTTTTGAAGTGTTTTTGAATGACAGCCATGTTTGAAGTTCTTGTATTTGCGTCTGTGTTTGTAGTCCTTCTCGGCTGGTGGCCGCTTTTGGTTTCCTTTTGGTATGGCCCCATGTTTGTAGTCCTTGATGACTTCCATAGTTTTAGTTCTTGTTGATTAGCCTCTATGTTAAAAGTCCTTGATAGTTAGTGGCCATGTTTGTAGATCTGGTAAACCATGTTTGCAGTCCTTGTGATTGCCTCCATGCTTGAAGTCCTTGATGATTTACATAGTTGTAGTCCTTGTTGGTTGGTAGCTATATGTGAATTAATTATGATTGCCACCATATTTGAAGATTTTAAGATCTATGTCTATAGATCTGGGCAGACATGTGTGGGACTCATGATAATTAACACGTATAACAATAACGCTGTAATAACACCCACCTCCTATTTTTTTGTTTAATTTTCATGTGTAATAACAAGGACATTAGCATATTTTTAGACAGGAGAAACTCAGGTGACCCACGCAGGCAGGTTGAGACAGCTTTGGGGGGGGGCTTGGGAGGTCCTAATTGAAAAGTGTGCTCAGACGAGGAATGCGTGGTGATGTCGTCTCTCTTGTGTTTCAGGTAACAAGGACTGTTTAAATATATTTTTATTTCATTTGTAACAGAATACAAAAGCTAAAAAACGTTCTATGTGGTATAACTAATTGAAAAGTGTGCTCAGACGAGGAATGCGTGGTGATGTCGTCTCTCTTGTGTTTCAGTGCAAACCACAATTAAAAATAAGGATAATCCTAAACACTCTGAACTTTTATTTATCCGACCACAAGTGCTACACATGTTTGTAGTCCTAGGTGGTGGATGTTAGATGTTTGACAGGCGTCGCCCTCTGCTGGTGCCTAACGATGCTCGCAGCCTCGGCTCCCGGGCTCTGAGCAAAAAGAAAAAGACATGTAGGAAAACACACATGTACAATAAAAGGAGCTATGATGAATAAACTCTGGAGCCAAAAGCATCCGTCACTAGTGGAGTCTACTCTGTATCAGCAGGAGGTATTTACAGATGGTTATATTGTCCTTAAGCAGCAGAGAATATGACCAGAATAAACAATAGAAATAATCCCAGCAGGTAAAGTGACAAGTGTATTTTCAGAACAGACCTGTAGTGTTCGTTGAAGTCCAGTCTGAAGCTCAGGAAGCGCAGGCTCTCGTCTGGACTCGTCATGAGCAGAACCAGGAACTGCTGCACCAGGCTCTGCAGTAGATACGTGTATTTATTTATGTGGCACAAAGAGAGTGACCAGAGAGAGTGACCAAAGAAAGAGACTGGAGAGAGACCAGAGCATGATCAGAGACAGTTACCAGAAAGAGACCAAAGAGAGAGAGCCGGTAGAGAGAGAGAGACCATGGAGAGATACCAGGGAGAGACCAGAGAGAGAGACCATAGAGAGACCAGGTAGAGAGAGAGAGACCATAGCGAGCAACCAGAAGGAGTTTACTCTTCAATGTAAGTCAATAGGAGCCAGGGAGAAGAGCCAAACTTCACCATGAGCACTTCCCAATTGGGCTATTTGAGCTAGCGGGTTAGCATTGTCCATTTGTATGCAGTCTTTGGTACTTCGTCAGTCATGTGATCTTACCTGGTAGAAGTGTGTGAGGAGGAGCAGCTGAGAGGACATCTTGGGGACAGTCTTCTCAAAGTCCTGGATGCGTCGCTTCTCCTCTGCTTCCTGCTCAGCGGTCACTCCCCACTCGCCCTGAAACACCAGGAGGAAAATTTAAGGATTTCAATGTTGCCTTTTGGACGCATTTTGGTGAACGTGCATTCGACATGAGGCCGATGCAACACCCAGTCTCTCTCCTTTCCTCTACTCTACTCTACTCTCCCTCACCTCCTCCTCATACTGCAGCATCACACTCACCTGTTCCTCCTTCTCATCTCCTCCTCCGTCCTCCTGCAGCATCACACTCACCTCCTCTTTTCTCCTCCTGCAGCCTCAGCTCCTCCTCCTCAGTCCTCCTGCAGCATCATACTCACCTCCTCTTTCCTCCTCCTGCAGCCTCACACTCACCTCTTCCTCTCTCTTCCTCCTCCTCTCCTCCTCTTGCAGCCTCAGACTCAGCTCCTCCAGAGCAGAGCGGTACAGTGAGTCCTGGACGCTCTGGAACTCGATGATCTGATCGAAGATGGAGCGAAGCTGATGCAGCAGCGACTGCAAAACACAACATCACAGTGAGGAAGAGGAAGAAGAGGAGGAGGAAGAGGAAGAAGAGGAGGAGAAAGTAATCTGCAAACAGGAGCTTTGACACAGATACACTCACAAAGGAAAAAGCATGTTACTATCACAAATGTGACCTTTCTATGAATATTTAACTCATCAGCGCTGGAAGACGCTCCATGTCAATGCGCCATCAGGAAATACATTGGTTTACAGGTGACATAAAAGAGCGTGAGAAGCGTGATTTTTGGTTGCCACGTGATTTCATGGGTGCTTAAAGGAGCTGTACCTGATTTAATTTTTCATGAGTTCATAAAAATGTGCATTATTACATACAAGGTGTATTAAAAACTGTAATTTTATTAAAAAAGCTCATTGATTTAGCTTGTGTATGAATACAGGCCCTGTAAAGTGCTAAGTTGACACTTTGCGTGACGCTAGTTCTTCTCCACTTCTCCACACGCCTCTTCAAGTGTCTGCAGTGCAGGTAAACAGAACTGCAAGGCAGCTGAAAGTGGCTATACCTGCTCTGGCTGTAACTGCAGACACAGCAAAACAGACTGCGGGAGTGGAACTGCCTCAGACTAACTTTGGACGTGAAACTGACGGTAATCTTTCAGTTATTGTACTGTATATATTGTTAGCAGTGCGTTGCTTTTGTACCATTTCATCAGTGATTGTTGTACAGCTTACGAGAAGTTGTGCTGATGGTAGCATACCAATCAGATCAGATATTGAGTGTACCTAAAGTAGTCCCATATGTCTAAAGTGTCTAAAGTAGTCCCATATGTCTAAAGTGTCTAAAGTAGTCCCATATGTCTAAAGTGTCTAAAGTAGTCCCATATGTCTAAAGTGTCTAAAGTAGTCCCATATGTCTAAAGTAGTCCCATATGTCTAAAGTGTCTAAAGTAGTCCCATATGTCTAAAGTGTCTAAAGTAGTCCCATATGTCTAAAGTGTCTAAAGTAGTCCCATATGTCTAAAGTGTCTAAAGTAGTCCCATATGTCTAAAGTAGTCCCATATGTCTAAAGTGTCTAAAGTAGTCCCATATGTCTAAAGTAGTCCCATATGTCTAAAGTGTCTAAAGTAGTCCCATATGTCTAACCCGGCTGTTGTTGTCCAGGAGACATCTGCAGATCACTGAATCTAGGAAAGTCTCATGAGCCACGATGATGTGATCCAGGTCCTGAGCACGCTGCACTTTCGTCCACAGCTCATCCCACGAACACTCCAGCACCTGCAAAGCGAGAGAGACCCATGTGAGAAAGAGAGAACCCTGTGAGAGAGACCCCTCTGAAAGAGAGAGACACCTCTCAGAGAGACCCCTGTGAGAGAGAGTCTCCCCTGTGTGTGCCTTCTCCTCCAGAAGATCTACAGTGCAGTTATTCATATGATCATATGAACAACCTCCTAGTGTCACACTGACTAACAGCAACAGAGAAAGCAGCAGCAGTAGCAGCAACAGTAGTAATAGTAATAGTAGTAGTTGCTGCAGCACCAGTAATAGCAGAAATGTTTTATTAGCCTTACTATGCCATATTCTTCTCTAATTTTGACTTGATTGCACGAGAGCCAAAGCAAATTCCTAGTCTGTGACTTCCTGTTACTTACATGGACATAAAATTGATTCGGACTCTGAGCAGTAGTAACAGAACAATTACCTCAAAGGTGATGTAGTACTGCATCTGGTGGATGAAGTGGACCATCTCAGAGGCCAGGATGTGACACTGGTGCAAAACTCGAGATAATTCTGAACAAAAACAAAACTTAATTTCTCGGCCCAAAGCTTCACATAGTGACTCACAGGGCTCTACAGAACATTAAAGATAACACTGTCATCAGATGAACACAGCTGAGCACACATGTTGTGGTCTGATTTGGACATTTTCTTTTGACACTCCTCCTTCAGTTGAAACTACATGTGCTTGAGTTTCTGAAGTTATATCCTTCAGCTTTAACCCATTTAGGCCTGACACGCCTGGTAAAACACACCAGGTAAAACACACCAGGTAAAACACACTAGGTAAAACACACCTATAAAACACACTAGGTAAAACACGCCTGGTAAAACACATCAGGTAAAACACGCCTGGTAAAACACACCTGTAAAACCTATGGCCGACTTTAGACTTACCCTCTAAAACCTGACGTTTTCCTAAAAATTCAACGTCTGATATTTCAGCTTCTGTTGCAGATAGAAACATCATAATGTGAGCGCTGACAACTGTGGCTTTCAAGACGAATGGAGTGCATTATTATAAACCTTCTATAGAATAATACAAAAAATATACAACTTCCACACAGGGAAGATAATAGAACAACCAAAAACCTTGTACATTTCTCCTATGTGAGATAAATAAAGCAAATCTTATCTTATCTTAAAAAAGCGAGAATAATAAATATTTCTCAATACAATAAGTTAACAAGTTGGCACTAACTGTGTGGGGAAAAAAATCCACTCTCAAAATGTCAAATAATGACTCACAGGGCTCTTTTTTAAGTAAGTAAAATACTTAAAATGTTTGAGATACATTTTACTTTTGTCCTGTACGCGCGTTTATGGTTCTGTCTGCGCTTCTATGGTCTGCGCTCTGTGCCACGTTACGGCTGAGCGTTCACTGAGCTATTATCAACGCGGCTGTCGGAGTCAGAATGAAGGATGTTGAATCCTGTTCGAGTACGTAGTGCAAACAACAGCAGGAAATAGTCTGAATTCGCATATCTGCAGAAAATTCTCATCCTAGGTTTATCCTGATGCATTTCAATGGACAAGAGAATTGGTCCAAAAAGATAAATTGACGTGTCCGCTTTCCCGGCCTCAAAGGTAGAAGTGCGCCACAGCTCTCCCGGCTCGAGAGGCAGAAATGAGGGAATGCGTTTCCTGCCTCAATGGGCTATAGCCTTCATACCTGGCATTGTCTTGAGCAGCTTGGCGTTGCACATCTGCCCCTTCCAGATGTCGGTGAGCGTGTACTCCATCCGTTTGGCTCTCCATAAGAAATGGAAGACCCGCAGGTAATGTCCCATGCACTCTCTGGTGAAGACCTGCGGGGAAACACAACAAAAAACATTTTTTAAAATACAGTAGCTCTTAAGCCGTCTTCCCAACGTCAATGAATGGACGTGCGTTGATGGAGGCATGGACGCACATTCTCTAAATATCAGCTTCATTTAGTCAATCTGACGTACTGTCCTGCGTTAGGAAAAAACGCGGGGTGGTAGATTAAACAACGTCCCCCGTTGTTTAATCCTGGTTTAATACAGGTGTAGCTCATGTTTTGGTTGTTTTCGAGTGACTTTGTCTTCCTGTTTTGACCGGCTTGTGTCCCTATGACCACTTTGCTGCTGTCTGATTGACTTTTTGCACATGCGTGTTCAGTGAATCTCATCTCCTGCTTTTGCTTTGCTGCATTCAACTCGCAGTGGGACCCACCACCTCTGCCGCAACAAGGCCTCTGCCGCAACAAGGCCTCTGCCGCAACAAGGCCTCTGACGCAACAAGGCCTCTGCCGCAACAAGGCCTCTGCCGCAACAAGGCCTCTGACGCAACAAGGCCTCTGACGCGCGGGACAAAAAGTACATTCAATTCCTCGCATGGGTGAACGTCACCATTGACTGTGCATTGAAAGTCGCTGCAACGCATGATCCGGGGGGAGCACTGCTTTAGAGCATGAGAACTGGTCTTTAGTCTCACCGTGGCGATGGGGCCGTCCACATGGTAGTCAAGGCTGAACACGTCCCAGCCAGTGTCACCGGGGCAAACCTGAACACAACACAACAGACACCAAAGTTTTACTAAATCAAATGGTCCGTTCTTGTTGTGTGGTCGGTTGTACGGCACGCTGGGGACAGATTAAGTTTTTTTTCTAATTCTTTCGGAAAAGAACAGCAAAAAACGGCGGCGGTAAAGTTTCATGCTGTTACCTACGGTAAACGTAGAACGGGAAGCCGGGGGGGGATTAGGGGATAAAAATTCATAAACAAATTTAAGTTTTGCAACTACTTTCACTGCGGACTTCTTCACTCATTCATTCATTAATGAATGATGATTAATTTTAAACATTGCATTTTGGTTGCTCCTCCCCGCGGCTTCCTCTTCCAGGTTTACCGTAAGCCGGGCCACTTTACCGCGGTGAAAAACACGAGAAATGGATTTTCACCACGGACCCTTCTTGAGTGAAGGGTCCCGGGTTTTCTATGAAGTAAGAATAAATGTCTCAGTGTCCCAGTCCCAGCAGATCGGTGCCAAAAGAGGTGAGTCTGACCAATGTTTCTTCTCGTCCTCCCAGGTCTCATCTGGGCTTTGAATTTGTTCAGTTCAGTCTCATATACTTATTTTTAGCTTGTCTTTATATCTACTCTGATCTTCAAGAATCCATTATCTGAATAAGAAAATATAAGATAAACTTTATTGATTTAACAATGGAGAAATTGACATTATCATTTTACAGTCAGGGGTTTTTGTACCCAAGTCTTGCTTTGTCATCACGCTGAAATTGGACATTTTAGATTTCTTTCCTTAAAATGCTAGAGATAGATATTTTATACTGCTTAATTTTAGGCTTGAGTTAGAGTTTGTATTTTAATCCTGTGCTGTGTGTGTGCTGCTCATTCCTACCGTCTGTAACTGGTGATGCAACACTGAAATTTCCACACCGTGGAACAAATAAAGGATCTCTTAATTTTATTCTTAAAGACACCAGGATCACAGAGAGCGCTAAACCACAAATTGTTAGAGAAGTTTACTTTTACATGTAAGTCAATAGGAGCCAGAGTTGGTGCACACATGAGCACTTCTCTCTGCTCTCTCACCTCCAGCAGCCTCACGTCCAGCCTCTTCAGGATCTCTGCGTGGTCGAACTGGGCGTTTGTGGCTCTGACCGCAGTCTCCAGGATCCCGGTCAGATTGTGCTGGTACAGAGTGGTGGCCGGACGAGCCAGCTCAGGTCTGCAGACACAAAACAAGATTCAAAGACAATGTCCTGAACTCTTGTGTTGCCTCAGTCCATTGTGTGGTTATTACATTTAAACGCATCTGATATTGCAATTTTTAAATGGTCTTCTAGCGCCCCCTGTGGCCATCTGTAGTTCTTAAAATTCTTGGTTGGACTGGACTCGGGACCTGGACTCGGGACCTGGACTCGGGACCTGGACTCGGGACCTGGACTCGGGACCTGGACTCGGGACCTGGACTCGGGACCTGGACTCGGGACCTGGACTCGGGACCTGGACTCGGGACCTGGACTCGGGACCTGGACTCGGGACCTGGACTCGGGACCTGGACTCGGGACCTGGACTGGGACCTGGACTCGGGACCTGGACTCGGGACCTGGACTCGGGACCTGGACTCGGGACCTGGACTGGACTGGACTCGGGACCTGGACTGGACTCGGGACCTGGACTATTTATAGTGTATTTCTTCCCAGTTTTGACGATAGTATTTAAGAAATCGTAACAGATGTGGAACCGGGCGTTTCTCTGCCTCTCGAGAGTGAAGGAGAAAGGTCGCTCTCTAATTAAAGCTTGACAGAATCAATCAATGAAAACAAAACACGGCATGCGGGCAGGGCAGGTAATCACACAAAGGAAGTAGAACTAAGGAAGACACAGGGCGAACACTCTTCAGAATAAAACAGGAACATAAACCTAAACCATGACAGGTCTAAAGTAAGTCTTAACCTGGTCTACCGTTTGTCTTACTTGAGCAGGTCCATCAGGTGCCTGATGAAGTCCCCCTGGCCCAGCAGCAGGTATCTCCTCATGGCCTGCAGATGCTCCAGCAGGAGGTAGTTCCGGTTCAGAACGTCCAGCAGATACTTAGATGTATGTAAGTATGCAGCATCAATCTTCTCCTGGAACGCCCCCTCCAGGTCACACAGCAGCTCTGCAGCTACAGACACCATCAGGTCACACAGCAGTTACAGACACCATCAGGTCACACAGCAGTTACAGACACCATCAGGTCACACAGCAGTTACAGACACCATCAGGTCACACAGCAGTTACAGACACCATCAGGTCACACAGCAGCTCTGCAGTTACAGACACCATCAGGTCACACAGCAGTTACAGACACCATCAGGTCACACAGCAGTTACAGACACCATCAGGTCACACAGCAGCTACAGACACCATCAGGTCACACAGCAGCTACAGACACCATCAGGTCACACAGCAGTTACAGACACCATCAGGTAAAACACCTGCTTTCTTCAGTCGTGATGTCAGGCTCTGAAGCAACAGATTTAAAGTTTCTTTTGTTCCTGCATCTCTCACTCTTCTCAATATAAAGCGATAAATGAATTTTCTCCTTGTTCAGGTGCACTGCTGCATCACTCTCATGCATCTCCTTTTTCTGTAATCAGTCGTGTGCAATACTTTTAGTGTTTCCAACTGCACAAGCACTTGGTTTGGGCATGTGCTATATACATCTTAATTATTTCTAATGAATACTTTAGTCATTGTATGTACTTATTACTTATTGTGTGAATACCATCTTAAACTTTGGTCTTTTACTCGAGTATATTCCGAGTATACTATGGAATATTTTTGTGTTGATGTTGCAGAGACTTGTGTCTTGGATGTTTGTGTTCAACAGCTTTGAGCTTAACTAATTTCCCAGAATAAAGTTGAACTTAGAACCTTAATACAGCTCCTTAATCTTCTTTAGTTCGACCGTCCCCGGCCTTTCATATTGCACATTGTAACTTCAGCTGTCAGCTTTATGGAGCTCTCCGTTTCATTACGTTTGGGGAAATGTGTCCTTGTGTTTAAAAGCAGGGGCCAGATCGATACAAAATGGCTGACCTCCCCCTCCCTCCTGGTCCTTGGGACAGTGGAGGCCAGAGAGCGGGAAGCTTTTATAACTTCATCAATAACAAGGTGGATGGCGGTCTGGCTGGGACTGGCTGGGACTGGCTGGGTCTGGCTGGGTCTGGCTCGGACTGGCTGGGTCCGGGTAGAGACGGTACCTGCTTTGGGGTCCTCTGCGGTCTTGGACACAGCTGTGATCTTCCCAGGTGGAGTCCGGTCCTGGCAAACCTGGTGCAAGAAGTTTATGGACTTACCGATGAGCAGGACCTAGAAGAACAAGCACAGTGGAACCATGAGAATGTGAAAGTTCTGGGATCTGTAACGGGTCCAGTCAAGGAGTACCAGTTCTGTAACTTTCAAAACACACCAATAGAACTCTACACTAAAATCCATGTCAAAAATGCAGCTGGAACAGATTTCACTTCTTGTTGGTTTGTTCTTAGAACACACCACTCCCACCAATTACCAGGGACCAGGTGTAATGCGAGGTCACAGGTCCCTGCGGTCTCACCTTCCGGGCCTGGTCCATGGAGATGAAGGACGGAATCATGGACTTCCTCAGAGAATACTTATCGTGCCAAAGTCTGTCTGTTTTCACGTTTGGATCCGACGCCACAAAAAACTGCGACACAAATTGTAAAAATGTAAGTACCATAGACAAAAAATGGACTCTTAAAGACCAATGTCAGTGTTTTTTATTGTTGTATTTCCTGTGATTCGCCAACACAGATTCTCTGATCCATGTTCACAAATCAACAAATTTGTAAAAATCCTCCAAGATGTGGTGTGTGAGATTACCAGGAGGTTCAAAGCAGGTCTAAAGCTGGGGTGTGTGAGTTTACCTCGTGGTAGGTGTCGTCCAGCTCTCCGTCATAGATCCAACGGTTCAGACAGTGCAGAATGGGATGCGACACCAGACTCAGGACGTGTTGGATCAGAGCTCTCATCTGAGGATCTCCTGTTTTACCATAAGCATGAACCGCAGAGGCCAACTCACCACCTTTACGGCCTGCACACACATGCAAACGCACAGGCACAGACACACAAACAAAAACACACAGGTACAGACACAGACATACACACACAAAAACACACACATCATTGCATTTCTTGTGTTTGAACTGTTTGATTCTCTGATCTATGTTTAAGTCAACAACTTTGTAAAGTTCTCCCAAATAAAACTACATATAAATAAATTGAGGGGCCGTTTACACAGAGACAATGCAGCAGTAAAACGCTATAGTTGGATGTCGGTTTCAACCAACCGTTCATACAGAGACTGTGTTCCAGGGGGGTGATAACCTAAGCGTTCAGATCCAGCCTGTAGAGTGGGACAGCTCAGATACGCTGCACAACAGGGAACATTTTTACACCCGCGTGAAGGAAAAAGATGTGAATTGTCTGCCTGCTCTGACCCCCACCTCCCCGCTGCTCCCCGCACGTAAATTTGGACATGCGCAGTAGCCGAGAACAAACGTAAACAACAATGGCGGCGTGTACACTAACTAGCTTCGTGGGCTTTGAGCGCTGCACAGAGGAGAATTGTACTCCTTCGTTCGTCCAAACGAGACCACGCAATGCTCTAGTTTCAGTTTCCATTTTCGCAGCTGCTGTTAAATGCAGAATTATGTTGGTGCATTCTTCCACGTCTCCCCGAGGAAGTGAGTATACTGCCGGGGGGGGGGGGCTGGGTGTGTTGTAAAGTTTCTCTGCCCACTACTGGCCGGGCGCTAGAACTACATCGTTTTTGATCCTCGTATGAACGCTGAGAAATTTGCATTAGGAGCCAGGTCGTTTCTGTTAATAGCCTGGAAACGTCTGTGCAGCGTCTCAGTATAAACAGGGCCTGAATTGGATGCTACAGAACACATTATGTAAATGACGAACAAAAGCTAAGAGAAGACCAACCAAGCTGAGGCTGAAGAAAACGCAGATCTGAAAAGTATGGATGGTTGTATTTACGGTGGTCACAAAGAGCAGACTCACCCTGGCAGAAGTCCACCAGCGCAGCCAGAGTCCGGAGCCTGAATCGCGGCTCATACATCCAGACCAGCAGCCTCCTCAGGGTTAGGGAGGAGTCTGAGGACAAGGTGGTGATCTGCTCCTCCTCCACCTGCAGCTGAGGAGGAGACACAGGAGCACGTCATCAGAGCAGGAGAACTATCTCTGGTCTCTCTCTGGTCTCTGTCTCTCTCTGGTCTCTGTCTCTCTCTGGTCTCTGTCTCTCTCTGGTCTCTGTCTCTCTCTGGTCTCTGTCTCTCTCTGGTCTATCTCTCAGGTCTCTCTCTCACCTGGGAGTGCAGTACCGACAGCAGCCTGTAGTACTCCTTCAGCTCCTGGTGCAGAGCGGCGCAGAAACTCTACAAAACAGACACATGTTTAAGAACTAGACCTTCTACAGCATGAGTGATCGCCAACCCTAACCCCACTGAGTACGGGACCTGGGCCTACCTGTCCCACGAGTCCGAAAGCCCGGTCCAGACTCCGAGAGTCCGTGTACTTCCGCACTTTGTTGTGGAGCCAGCCGAGCTCTGACAGCCGACTGCTGAGGTCACGAAGAGACTTGGAGAGCACCACCTACAGGAGAGAGAGAACGGTCTGACCATGTGAGAGAGACCATTGAGAGACCAGAGATAGAGACCAGAAAGAGACCTGCTTTCTGTGGTTGCATGCAGTGTGAGCAGGAGACTTCCATGAGTCTTGTTCATAATTAAATTGGACGACAAGAGAGGTTCTGACCTTGGAGTCGATCTTGTAGCAGTCGTCCTGAGCATTCATCCGTATGAACCTCCCATCGATCCCCTGGAACACGTACAGAATGTCCCGCACCAGCGACGCTTCACTCACCTCCCCTACCACACAAACACTCCGCTCTCAGCCAAAGAGGCAAATAGTGACACACTGGGCTCTTTCTCTGATAGAGACCAGAGAGCGAGAGACCAGAGAGAGACCAGAGAGAGACCAGAGAGAGATCAGAGACACCAGGGAGAGTGACCAGAAAGAGAGATCAGAGAGTGAACAGAGAGAAAGACCAGAAAATAAGACCTGAGAGAGACCACAGAGTCAGTTCTCAGCCCAAAGAGTGAAATAGAGACAGCGTGTAGTGGTTTGTTCACCTCATATTATTTATTTCAAACTACATGTGTTATGACACTAAAGTTACGTCCCCCAGCTTTAAATCAGGTTCAAAGGTGTATATACTGTACCTGTGGCGTCGGTGTCCCGTCGAGAGCGGGACAGTTTGGGTGAAGGCACGGGCCGGGCAGTGGGTGGGGCCATGGCGGCAGAGGGGGCAGAGTTTACAGGCAGAGCCCAAGCTAATCGGGAAGCGAGAGAAGCGGACTGAGGCTGACTGCAAACACACAAGAACAGGTTAGAGGAGGTCTCCCGCCCTCCAGGTCTCCCGCCCTCCAGGTCTCCCGCCCTCCAGGTCTCCCGCCCTCCAGGTCTCCCGCCCTCCAGGTCTCCCGCCCTCCAGGTCTCCCGCCCTCCAGGTCTCCCGCCCTCCAGGTCTCCCGCCCTCCAGGTCTCCCGCCCTCCAGGTCTCCCGCCCTCCAGGTCTCCCGCCCTCCAGGTCTCCCGCCCTCCAGGTCTCCCGCCCTCCAGGTCTCCCGCCCTCCAGGTCTCCCTCACTGAAGTTACCCGGCTAGTAGAGACTGAGGTGTGGGTGTGGGTCCATTCACGGAGTACACGCCCAGACTCGAGATCCCACGGGTGCCAAGACTTGAGCCCAGACCTGGTCCCGGTCCAGACCCGAGCCCGGACTGAAGCCGGTCCTCATAGCTCAGGGAGAGGCTCTGTGGACGGGTGCAGTAAAAGGGGGTGGAATGGGCGTCCCGAGGTAGAGGCTGAGCAAAGAGAGAACTGTAGGGACCCACCTGAGGAAACGGGACCCAAAAGAAAGATACTTTAGTCTGAACCAGATCTGAAACAGTGTGTGAAAGCAGGACTAAAGCAGGTCTAAAGCAGGACTAAAACAGGACTAAAGCAGGACTAAAACAGGACTAAAGCAGGACTAAAACAGGACTAAAGCAGGACTAAAACCGGACTAAAACAGGTCTAAAGCAGAACTAAAGCAGGACTAAAGCAGACTAAAACAGGACTATGCTCAGAGAAATGCAGACCCGGGAGGAGGGGGGTTTCCTTGGGTCTTCAGTCAGACTCAGCAGGAGGTAAAGGACGGACCAGCGATGCTTCAGAACACCCTGAGCACAGACACAAGGTTCATCAGGGTCCAGGGTTTGGAGACCAGAGACCAGGGAGATCAGAGAGAGACCAGAGAGAGAGAGACTATAGATACGTGTTCCATTGACACCTGAAATGGACCTAAATAATGGCTGTCTGTGCGCGTGTTGGGCAAAATGGATAAAAAATACAATATGAAACAATATTTTCACATGATAAATAACCCTCCAAAAACTACTGACAAAAACAAAAAAAGGTTGTTTTTTTTAATTTAAAAAGAAAATATTGAACCTCAAAAAGGGAGTCAAGTAAGAGTTAAAGGTTTCCGTCACATTTGCTTCTGAAACATTTTAGGGATAAAAAACCTCTTTACATTAATAATTAAGAACCAATTCAGCCGCTCTCGGCAGTGCAGTCACGGGGGTTCTTGTATCACAAAGTAATGCCTCAACTCTGCAATCTGTGGTGAAACACCTCACTCTGTTATCAAAAAGACAGGTTCAAGTTAAGTAACCTTATGTTTCATTTCTAGCTGTGTATAAAGTTTACAGTTTCTGGTATAAAGCCACATTCAATGACGACAAAAGGTGTCCTGTCACCACTGTATGAACACCACCTTCTGTTATTCTCTACACTCCACTTTTTTTAGACAAGTTTGTTTCCTCAGAGCATGTTTTCCTCTTTCCTCTGCCTGCTAAGCAGTGTCGTTGCTGTGTTGAATGAGACACATGCGACGTTGTGTGTTCGCTCACCTGTCCCTGCAGCTTCTTGTGCAGCTCTGAGAAGACAGCAGCATCCTCCACTCTCCTCTGTCTGAGCACTGAGGACACACAAAAAAGACAGAGACAGACAGACACACACACACACACACACACACACAGATTATATATGTTATTAGCCCCCCACTTCTGTCATCAGTCTTATTGCATCGTTCTGAGCTCTGCCCCTTTACACAACATCACAGGTCAAGCTGGCAATCAGCAGATTTCAGGTTATTACGCCAAGGGTGTTTGAGCAGAAAAAGGATCGGGGGGATGTGTGTTGTGACATTGTGCGTCTATGAAACTCTGTGATGTTGCTGCTGAGACTCCCACTGGACACAAACACCATTTGTGTGAAAACCATCGATCCTGGACTCAGAATAAACCAGCAGCACTTTGCTCATTACTGCAGCGGATCCATAAATGTGTTTCTACAAAGTGAGAAAATGTTTACGAGACACAATAAAAGCGGTTTAAAAGCTGTGTACGAGAGGGTCAGAGGAGAAGGCTCTGAAGTACACACATCACACCAGGGACAGAAGTTACAGCATGCACAATGCACAATGACAGCAGAACAAGCCGTGGAGCTGTGTTTGGGTGAGTGAAGCCCTCAGCTTCAGAGTTTGGAAAGTTCATGCTTCTCTTTCTTTTATGAAGTTATCTTTGAGAAAAATATGTTGGAAAATGTGTATAAAGCCCCAAGTGGATGAGAAACTGATAAATGCTGTTGTCTATAGCGAACTATCTGAATGACGTCACTAAGACACGCCCCCGCCGCCTGTCAACTCCCGCCCACATGTTTCGGACAAACACTGCCCAAATGAATCATATACCACTTGTCACTTTAGACGAAAATGAAATACCAGGGGCAAAATTCCACCATCAAACCATCAGGGATCATAGTGTAGACCAATTATAACGTTGGCTTGAATGTCGTGGTCTTCCAGTAGAAAGTTTGAGTTGATAAAAAGATAATGGTAAGGATTATGCTAACATTATCTAGTCATTTAAATTGCAATGCTAGCGCCTTCTTTGTTTGTTTTGCTGTGATTAACTTCCATTTATCAAGTTGTTTTTTTTTGCACTATCCACTTTGTAATTAGTTTGATCATTAGTTAGCTACAGTCAGCTGATATTATAACAGATCCATGGGGTCACAACGGGTTACGCCACTACTGTCTCTGCAGAGAAACTATCGGAGCTAGCCACACTCAGTAAACGCAAATGACAATCAATCGACACATTTAAATGTTAATGGGAGAATACATTATACATACATTCATAACACAAGTGCACGGAGGTTTTCAGAATTATCTGTTCAGGTTTTCATGACAAAAATACTTTTTTAATGCAACTAAAGCGATCGCTTTTTTAAAGTAGGTTAACTATCCTCACTGTTACTCGCCTGCCACGGGAAAACCTTTGGGAACTATTTTCTTTGCACTCATTAAATAAACCTTTCGGCATTAATAGTGAATGACGTTTATTTTGCGTGTTGAGTTGGTACAAAGCCGTATAATAAGCGGACCCTGACGCGCTTCGTCTGAACTTATTTTCAGATAGTCACAAAGTTGAAAAAATCCCTCTCATCTTTCTTCAGGTGTGAGAATTGTATACTTTCTGGATTAGGACAAACAATACTAATATGGATTGATGGGGGTAAATGGTGTAAAGAGAAAGTTTGTGCTAACTGCATTCAGAAGAGCTCAGACGGACCAGATACAGCGGTCCAGATCCAGTCCTAAACGTAGCTAGGACTGGATCTGGATACTCCACAGTTGGTCCAGCGAAGTGTTTTGAAAAAACATGTGTCCTTTTTAACCTTTTCATGAGAGAAATTCTGCCGACCACAAGCACCCACCTCTTGCACTTGTCCTGGTCTGATCTGGTCCTGGTCTGGTCCTGATCTGGTCCGATGTTGTGGTTTAACGAACGGGTTGAATGTTACTTTGATAGTCCTTTTCAGAATATCTGAAATCGCTCCGACAAGCACCATAACTGCAGTGTTTTGTTGTCACCATGATTTAATGATTTAGCCCAAGTAAATACACACGCGTATGTGGAGAACACAGTACTCAACGCGTCGTACACAATGTTTGTCCGAAACATGCGCGCATGCGCAGTCATCTGAGCTATTTTTAGCACATTTCGGAAACCGGACAGTGCCCTATTATTAGTCGCTCTGTTCCTGGGTACTTGTGCTTTGAAAGTGGGAGGTTGTTTGGACTGGGGGTGTGCTAATTCTTTTTATCATTATGTTATTAATAACATAATAATATAAATATATAAAGATAGTCTTGGACCTGTTGGGGGCCTGGAGCCTTGGTTCACTCAGAACACTCACGTTCCTTCTTGATCTTGTCCGTCACCAGGATCTCGTCCTTCTCGATGGTCGGAGCGTAGTTACTGCCGATCACTCGCACTGCATACTGGAACTGATGCGCCACCTCAGCTGAACACACAACAGCAAAAACAACATCAGTTACACAAACATAAAGCTGAACACACAACAGCAAAACAATGACTCTGTAGTAGCTTCTGCCATACACTACACTGCCGTGTGCTGGTCCCCGGGCAGCACAGAGCGGGACAGGAGCAGACTGAACAAGCTGGTCAGGAGGGCCAGCTCCACTCTGGGCTGCTCCCTGGACTCTGTGGAGGAGGTGAGGGACAGGAGGGTGCTAGTCAAAGTCACCTCCATCATGGACAACACCTTTGCCTTTAACATGTTTGAACACTTGTATCTTTTGCACAAATCTTGAGTAATTCTATCCATGCCAAATGTGACATGTAAATTTCTCCTGTGTGAGGTCAATAAAATCTATCTTATCTGGTACACAAATATACAGCTGAACACACAACACAATATGTACTACACAACCATACAGCCCTCTGGTCTCTCTCGCTCTGGTCTCTCTCGCTCTGGTCTCTCTCGCTCTGGTCTCTCTCGCTCTGGTCTCTCTCGCTCTGGTCTCACTCGCTCTGGTCTCACTCACTCTGGTCTCACTCACTCTGGTCTCACTCACTCTGGTCTCACTCACTCTGGTCTCACTCACTCTGGTCTCACTCACTCTGGTCTCACTCACTCTGGTCTCACTCACTCTGGTCTCACTCACTCTGGTCTCACTCACTCTGGTCTCACTCACTCTGGTCTCACTCACTCTGGTCTCACTCACTCTGGTCTCACTCACTCTGGTCTCACTCACTTTGGTCTCACTCACTCTGGTCTCACTCACTCTGGTCTCATCCACTCTGGTCTCATCCACTCTGGTCTCGCTCCCTCTGGTCTCGCTCCAAAGTGACCATTGTGAAATTGCAATATCCATCAGTATCTCTTCTCATACAAATTGCATTTGTCGTGAATAAGGACATTCTGTGATTGTTCCATTGTGAAAAAACGCATTTAAAATATAATTTACAGACATCTATCCGACCGTTTAGGCATAATACATCTATAATTTTAATCCAATGTAGAAGTTCATTCATAAATCCATACATATTACAGCATCAGTGTCATGAGAAGGCACTGTTTGCATGTAACCCAAGACCTAAGTCCCATCACACACGATTAGAGACGCTAGCTTCTGAATGAATTAGCAGAAACCCGAAAGTATGCGAGCCAATCAGAGCAGCGTATTCCTCAAGCGCACACATAACATTAAATTGTCAACACATGAAGTTTCTGGTAAATACAAATACTTTATGACCAATTAATTCAGCCGAAGTGTTTAAAATGGGGAGAAGTAAGAGTATGTGAGTTTCAGGGTGGATTGGTAAAATGTATGTGTTTGTAAATGTGTGTTATATGTTAAAATGTTCCGTTTGGGAGCAGTGTCTGGGGTGGACAGTAAAAGCGGGAGCCCGTGTTGATGCTAGCCGCCTTACCCTCACTCTTCCCGGTCACTTTGCAGCACAGGCTCTGCAGCAGGACGTTGGGGGATTTCTGGTCCAGGGCCATCTTGGGTAGCAGCCCGGGGAGAGCTGTGTGTCGGGTTTGTTATTGCGGGGAACGGTGCAGGAAAGAGCGGTTACCTCCAGCATCCCTCCGCAGACAGCGCCATTTTGACAAGCGCAAAGAAGCGGGATATAAAACTTCGGTTCCTGCTGCTCCTTCAAAATACAACACTGTACCTACAAAATAAAATTCTTAATTTTGTTATTATAAAAATATTTGATTCCCGTATTGTCCTAAACAAATAACATGTCTTCTACATTAGCCTCCAGACAGATCCAGAGCCCCAGCCTTATCGTGTCCCTGTGTTATATAAATAACATGTCTTTCTTTCCTCTGTACCAGTGCAGACAGATGGAGCCTCAGCCTGTCAAGTCCTGTTTGTGACGCTGTAAAACAAAAGGCAAGTTTCAACATGTCTCAGATCAAGAGGAAAAGTGTTTATACCAGGACCAGGACCAGTACCAGGACCAGTACCAGGACCAGTACCAGGTGATCCAAGTCTGAGTCACTGTCCATTACACGGGGCTGAAACTCGCCAGTGGCAAAGATCTAGAACTTCTTAAGTCCTCAGGTCAAACTTTATTGACTTCCTCAATATCAACTCTTTATTTTTTATAGTGTAAAATGTAATGAATATAATGTGTGTTTTTATTGGTTGAAAAAAACTTGGGACCCAAACTCTCTCCCTCATACACACACACACATACACACACGCGCGCGCGCACACGCACATACACACACACACACACACAGTCACACACACACACACACACACACACACACATACACGTTTTTGTTACCTGGTGGGTCCCTTTGACAGGGCCGTTCAGAATGGGACCCATAGACATAATCTTTTTTTACCAAGACTTTAAGTAATACAAAACAGTCAATAGAAACCAAACAACTATTTTAAAGGAATTTTATTTTAGATTTTGTTTTCGAATTGCAGTGATTCTATTTTTGACATAGAATTTAATGCCACTCCATGTCCGATGTCTAAGGTCATCTGGTGAGGCATTAATGCAGGCCAGGCAGTGAGACTTCCCAGGGACCTTTCCAGTCTGTATGAAAGGTGTCATGGTCTTCTCCACAGCCTTCACCTCAGATGCAGACCATGGCTTTCTTACACGTTCTAGGGAGAGAAATAAAAATATATTAGCAATATACACTCCCAGGGTGAGGACCAAGCAGCCTGGCTGTAATCCCCCACCTGGTACACTTACCAGAAGGGGCACTGCCACTACCATGGGGTGCATCTGGATGAATGGTTGAAGGTTCTCCGCTTGAAGTTTCTTTTAGCCCGTCCGTTTGTGAGAGGATCTCTACTGCTCTCCCTGTCGCACAGAAAATAAAAATACAAGTGGCCTTTAGGGGAAAAAAATCATACATATTTTAATAATATCAAGAATTACCTTCAGGCTCAATTTGTATCTGGTCGAGGCTCTTTCCTTCGAATTCCGTCACTCTTCCCTGCTCCATGGCCATCAACACTTTGCTGATTTTGGCCAGCTCCAGTGTCCCCTCTGGTAGTCTGTAATATTGCCTGTGGATGCGAATGTCATGGCCGAGGAAGTTGGCAAGTATGTCCATCTCATTCTCTTTCATATTGAGAACTGTAGACATAGTAGCTATGTGCTTTCTAAGTTTGGTTGAGGATAGCATCTCTGGATGCACCGCACCACATTCTTTGGCTACCTGGCGTAGGGAGTCTGATCCCCTGATGTGGGTGTCTGCCGCCCGGGCGGGAAAAGAAGTATGGGTTATGGTCAGAGATGGAACAGGCCCTTCTGTTCTCCACCAGCACCTCCATCGAAGCAATCATTTCAGGAGTCAAAAGAACCGGCACTTTCCGACTTCTTTTCCCTTTAATTTCAATGCGTTGAAAATGCTGACACAGCTTTTTCTCAAGTTGGGACAGTCCCAGAGCAATGTCAGAATGGATCCCAGTCTTACTTCTTAAGGTAAAGGCTGTCAGTGGCATCTTTGAAACCTCACCTTCCCTTCTTCGATTGAAAATGATGACCTCACAAAGAGTCAAAACTGCCAGTTTAGACCAATGCTTAGACGTTGGCTCACTTATTAGGGTTTGCACATATTCAGGTCGACATACCTCAATATGTGCATGCATGGCTCTAACGTCCTCAGTCAGAGGGAGCAGGTCCGGAGTGTTCCACTTGGCTTGCCGGAGGGTCTGTAGGGCAGCAGAAGAAACACAGACGTCCCACCTCTTCTCAAAAAGCAGCCGGCTTCGTTGGAGGTTTTTAATAAATAGTTCATCAACACAATGCTCCATTTTTGAGTCACATTCAAGAATATCTGCTAGCTTTCTGAGGCTATGGCCGAGTTTGAGGGCCAAGGATGGAGTCTTGTATTGATTTGTTTCCTCATCATATCCAGCCACAGACCTGACTGCATCAATCACATGGTTAAAGTTGGAAGGAATAAAGAAATCCTTAATTGTTTTCAGTTTCCCTGCGGTTTTTGCTTCGTTAATTAACCTACCGACTTCTCTCATTTTCTGCCTAATGTAATCATGCTTTGTCTTATCATGCCCGTGTTTTAAGTACAGGTGCTCTCCGAGTCTCAAGAATCCCCTTTTCTGCTTTGACAACACCCGTGACCTCATCCTGATGCATTGCCGAAATTAAAGACCACAGCTTTTTGCTGATGCCCTCCGGTACAGGCTGGGCTAGGGAGCAGAGGGACTGGACCCTACTTCTACCTGGTTTAGCCTGGGCATCTTTCTGTGAAAGCCGGCACCTGGCCACATGCCTCCACAGCGACTTTCGCTTAAGCAATGCCCCACAGTCTATACAGTGCAAAAACTCACTGGATTTAACTGGGGAATTTGGCTGTTTAGCTGGGACTAAAGTTCCAATGCCGGCCTTTAAAACCTCAAAATTGTGCTCACGGTTTCCACTATTCCTGATCAAATCAAACTGAAGTTTACGTGCTTTAGATTTCACAGGTAGAGCCAATGCTCTGGCTACGTCACTTTCATTTCCATGTTTTCTAGTCAAATGACGGGACATTTTGTGGCAGGACATTGAACAGTAGAGGCAGAAGTGTCTCTTGCTGTATACTCGCCCCCCATTTTTCTTCTTTTGCAGCTGCATGATAACAATCTTATTTGCCTTTGGTTCGTCACTTTCCGAGTCTTGAAGAAAAGTGTTTTTGATTTTTCTTTTTCCATACTTTTTTACAGGTTTCTTCTTGACAGTTAAATCGTCAGAATCTGAGTCGACTTCATCAATTAGGGACTCTTGACTAAGCTGCACAAACAACAAATAATTTGTAATCATTCTATATAACAATTTGAAGTCATGACTTGTAGTCAGCACTTACCAGTGGTTTGTAAGCGTGCGCTTCAGTGTGCTCCTCCATGATTTCTTGCAGCCTAAAGAACCACACACTTGCACCTTTTCTAGCCTGACACCTGATTTCCTCTGTTGTGCTGCTCCATGATTGGCTCCAGCCTGCTGGACTGAAATTGCCCCAGTGTGCCCCTCCTTGATATCCCGCAACCCACCACCAGGGTTCCGACACATAACACACTTTTTTCAGGAAAGTAAACCTCCAGGGGTCCTTTCCATATTTTTACAGAGACTGCATAAGGACCGTTAGAAAAGCATTACCCATTGATTATTAAGCTTGGACCAGTGGGGTCCGGTGTTCGGGCCCCACCACGTAAAACCAGTCCCCATGACGTGAGTGGAATCTCAGGTTATGGAACCCACCAGGAGTTGAAAACAAGTGCACACACACACACACACACACACACACACACACACACACACACACACACACACACACACACACACACACACACACACACACACACACACACACACACACACACACACACACACACACACACACACACACACACGCACGCACACACACACACACACACACACATGCCACCTGCTCTGCTCCTCGTGACGGAGATCAAAGCCTGAGCGCCTCTTCCTCATCTCATCAGACTGAGTCCAGACTGGGTTCAGGCTTCCACCGCCCCACCCCGGTCCTCCCTGCTGCCTGTGCCCGGGAGAGGCGCTCTGTCCACGGCTTAGACTCTGCTCCTCACTCCGTAACAAGACTTTCAACATTTCCAGGAAGAAGGAGCATGGAGAGGACGCGCGCCCCGGAGCAAAGCTAGCGAAGGAATTCATTCTCTCACGGGCCGTGTTCCCGAAGTTTGAAGCCCGGGACACACGCCCTCATAATGGGCATGGACTTCAGCACGCTCCGGTCCCTCATCACCAGATACGTGAGTTCTAAAAGCACCCAAACTATACGCCAAAGCGCAGCGCGTAAAAAACCCTGTGATCGCCAACATGACGAAACAGGAGATTAGCGCGATCGGTTTCACGTCGCCACAGACTGGATTGAGTTTCGCAGCAGAAAGAGTCTTCAGTCATCTGCTTCTCTATGAATAATGCACAATAATGTTTACTCTGAGTCAAGGAGAAGTTTGGAGGCAATTTTACGCACGAAATGGTACAAAAAGCACGCGCTTTGAGACGCGCGCTTTATTGGATTAGTCTCTAATACTCTGAGCGTGTTTCCTCAGCGGTGACAAGGAGAAAACAATAGACTTTTACTGAAGTGAAATTAAAGCGCAGGTACCTAACTTTAGCTTCAGTTAAAATGTAGTTTGTCTAACAGAAAGAGTCGTTAAGGTAAATGTTGTGAACAAATCAGACACAACACATTCTAATTAGAAAACACAATAAATTCTGTGGAAGAGCCCTCTGAGTCACAATTTGACTCAGTTCTCTCTCTCGTGTGTATGTTTGCTCTCTCTCTCTGGTGTCTTTGTTATCTCTCTGTGGTCTCTCTCTCCGGTCTCTCATTCACCTTTAGGTCTGAAAAAGCAGAACTGAGGATGTGACAGAGGCCAGAAAAGAATGCATGACAAAACTAGTAATAGAATTGAACCGAGCCAGGGGTGACCAGTATTTCTATTGTTGTGGTTTGAAAGTTATGGTGAAAAGATAACATGCCTGATTGAAAAGCATTATCTTCCATGTGCCCATAAAGCTCAGGTACGTAACTTTCAGACAACAACACTGAAACTGTAATATATATGTAACTACCTTCCGTAAAGCTTCCGTCACTACTTTAGATGTGTTATTCATGAGACTTAAGTTACAGATCCCAGCTTTAAAGCCACCCTGTGTCATTTTTACAGCTGCTCCATGTGAAATAACATGTTAACTAATAACAAATGTGACCTTTTTAAGAATATTTACCTCCACCATGTTGTTTTAATTGTATTCATAGGCTTAGAATTGAACTTACAAGTGTCCATGAGAGAGGAGGACTGTCACTCCCGTATTCGTCCCGGAAACCGGATTCGTCCGGAAGTTCAGTTTGATCCAATGAGCACAGGCAGCAGTAGATTACGTCACGGAATCTGGACGGAAGCGGAAGTAAATATAAAAAACTACCTATTCATGCCTAAACTTAACCAGCCATTCCCATAAAATAACCCCAACCCAGCCTTAACCCTAAACCTAACCATCTTAATCAGACGCCTAAACTTAACCAGTCACCACTTAAGGACATATTAAACTTTTTGACATGCGCAAACTGAACTTCCGGACGAATCCGGTTTCCGGGACGAATCCGGGAGTGACAAGGACTCATGGCAAGGACTATCCGTGTAAATGCGCCATCTTGAAAACCGGTGGTGGATAAGGACAAAAAGCGAGAAACGCGTTTTTGTTTCACATAAGCTACTGATATTGATTTCACCGTGCCTTCACAATTTGGAAGAAGGAACCATGGAGGACCACAGTTATATAAAAGAACCACAGAGGACCACAGTTATATAAAAGAACGATTGGAACAACAATCTTTTAGATAAATACATTTGTAGAAGTCCAGCGTCATAGCAGCGAAGTGTCAACATCGCAAACCACACACACAAAGACAGCGTTAACAACAGGAGGTACATCGTGTATTTTGTACACAACAGACTCACACGTGAACAATACGTAACTTTTTCACACTGACAATAAGTACGAGGCAGAATCTGCAACACAGTCTCAGGATGTTCTGACCCGATCTGAGCGCAGTCCAACTACTATGTCACAAGTTTCAACTAAATTTATTCAGGGACAAGCATCAAATAAAACACACAGAATCCCCACAAAACGATCGCCAGAATAATGTATCAGCAGCGTGAGTGAATCTTCTGTTTTTATTACCTGGTGATGCAGATAGGGCGCTGTGGCTAACGCTAATGCTAACATGAGCTTTGCCATGTCCTGCTGCTGCTGTGTATATCTCCTGCTTCTTTGATCACCACAGTTTTAACCTCATACAGACTTTATTCCTCCATGTATCTCTTCTCTTCACAGCGCGTTTGTAAAACTATATATTATAATAGATCCATGGTAAAACATGGTAGAGCCTCTGTGTAGGGTGCTGCTGCCTGAACGCGGTCTTGTTTACATGTTGGCTCCACGCGTCTGTCAAGTGCCCGAGACGTTTGGAGAGATCCGGTCATTTATCAAACTAAAGTATTCTTTCCTTGGCAGTCTGGTGAAAGACTGAGAGTTGAGGAGCACTGTCAAACAGTATAGGCAAAAGTCTCCTTAACTCTACAGGCACCCGTACTCAAATCTCAATATATGAGACTGCAATATAAGATCTCAACGCTAGAGGCACTAGAAATTACACAGTGTACCTTTAAACATGTGTTATTTATGAGACAAAAGTTACAGATCCCAGCTTTCTTTCTTCCCTGGTTTGAACTCGACTCCAGACACAGACTCGGTTCAGGTTCAGACCTGTTGTGACAAACTCTGCGGTGCTGGATCCTTTCCATGAAATAATAACAATCCTTCTAAAAGTGTAATAAGCTAATGAAAAAATAATATCTATAGCAGAATGCACACCTGCTGTTGGACTGTGTGTACAACAATTATTTTGGTATTTAGTTGTTTTTTAACTGAATAATGAGCTGTTTAAAAGTCCCATGATGTCCTCAGGTCAAATCGAGGGCCACAGTAATTAAAAGTAGAAGAGAAATATCCAAAATTAGGGTCTAAAAGGGTCGAGTTTGGAAAAGTCATCAAAATTCATCTTGAAAAAAATATATTTAGGGTATTTCTTAATCACTGTGGCGGGTCAATTTGACCTGAGGATAGGATCCATTCACCACTGTGGAATTGTTGAATAGTTGATTTTGTGAATCTATCTCTGTTCTCTCTCTTTTCTCTCTGGTCTCTCTCTGGTTTCTGTTTGGTCTCTCTCTCTGGTGTTGCTCTGGTCTCTCTTTGGTCTCTCTCTGGTCTCTCTGATCTCTCTCCATTTTCTGACATTGTGCCACATACACGCACACACACACACACACACACACACACACACACACACACACACACACACACACACACACACACACACACACACACACGCTCTTCCTCATCAGTCAAACACCTGCAGTTGTGCTTAGCTCCATTCACGCTGATAACAGGGACATCCCCCCGTACCCTCTGCCTTTATGCTCCTTTATCAAACTCCCTCATGACTGCTGAGACTGTGACATGGACCAGAATGGGCTCAGTTCAGGTCGTGGATTGCCTCTCTAACCTCTCTTCTCGCTGCGCTGCAGTTTTCAGAGTTGAAATCTGATAAAAGGGTGAATATTGTTGAAGACATTAGAGCTAAAGTGGGGGCAACATCAGCATCGATCCATAAACAACTGGATTACAGCAGGGAACATCAGTCACAGCAGGGAAACAGCAGTTATACAGACGCTGTTTACATGAGGCTCAGAGGGAGAGGTTAGAAGGCTCTTTATACAGGCGTAGAAAAGTGGTCTCTCACTTCTCTCTCTCTGGTCTCGCGCTCTATTCTCTGGTCTTTCTCTGGTCTCTCCAGTCCGTCTCTCTGGTTTCTCTCTCTGGGCTCTCTCTCTGGGCTCTCTCTCTGGGCTCTCTCTGGGCTCTCTCTGGTCTCTCTCTCTGTTGTTTTTCTCTGGTCGCTCTCTCTGGTCTTTCTGGTTTATGTCTGGTCTCTCTCTGATCTCTCTCTGGTCCTGGGTACTCACACTGTGACTTATTCTGAAAGTAAGAAGATGTTTTGACTCTTTTTATCATGATATGTTCCCGTCTTCCCTGCGAAAAGCCGATACGGGTCCAAACCAAACGCCAACCTTTCCCACTGTTGCCCTGGATTGACAAATTTGGTCCCAGGCTTCAATACCAGGTCCCATGGACCAGGACCATGTGGACCAAGACCACCAGGACCAAGACTACTATAACAAAGTGACAATAGATTCTGCTGACTATAGTTTTAAAATCCTAATCTTTGTAGTTGTGTTTTGATAATCTCTTCCTGTTCTGTCAGGAAGTAACAAGAGGTGCACAGGAAGTACTGTGCGCTGGCTTCCTGTGAGTGGACTGTGAGGTGACTGCCGGTCACAGACTGGTTATAATCCTGGTCTAATCCTGAGACCTTAGACCAGAGTGAGACCAGAGAGAGAGACTAGAGAGAGACAAGAAAGATACCACAGAGAGAGACCAGAGAAGGAGCCCACAGAGAGAGAGACAAGAGAGAGAGCCCACAAGAGAGACCACAGACAGAGAGACCACAGCGAGAGAGACCAGAGAGAGAGCCCACAGAGAGCGAGACCAGAGAGGGACCATAAGAGAGGCCACAGAGATAGAAAGACCAAAAAACACAACAGGGGGACCAGAAAAAGATCAGAGAGAGAACACAGAGAGAGAGACTAGAGAGTGGGACCAGAGAGACCATGCAACAAAAAGAGTCTTGTAAAAGTAAAATGTTATGAACAAATCAGACCACAACATTTTCTTTCAGAACCAGGAAATAGAAACATGGGTTTATTACAGAGTGGTTTGAAAGTTACGGACCTCAGCTTTAAGTAAAGTCCAGTTAGAAGCATTGAGTTCAGTCAAACGGCTCTTTGTCCCTCGTCATGTGAAGCGTCTCGTGTCGTCAGCAGCATTCTGCACATAACTCTACACCACAGACACAATATCCACTTATATCAGAGACCAGAGGGAGAGCAAAGACCAGAGAGAGACCAAAGACCAGAGAGAGACCTAAGACCAGAGAGAGACCTAAGACCAGAGAGAGACCTAAGACCAGAGAGAGCAAAGACCAGAGAGAGACCTAAGACCAGAGAGAGACCTAAGACCAGAGAGAGACCTAAGACCAGAGAGAGAGCAAAGACCAGAGAGAGACCTAAGACCAGAGAGAGACCTAAGACCAGAGAGAGCAAAGACCAGAGAC